TATATGTTTGCTTGACTAAGAATTATTATTTTTTATTTATAGACGGCAATTTACTTTCCACGAGTTGAGGAAATTTGGTCCCCCACACCGAAGAAGAGAATTTGTCGAATAGAAATGTGCGTGTTACTATTTACAATGTACCTGCTTAATTGTTTAATTACTTTATTAAAAGAAGGTTCAGTACAAAAATACTTGTTATACACGAACGAATGCTGACGTAGTCATAGTTACGCGAAAGTGTACGGTCAACGGACCTCACTTTTCATTACCTTCTGCAGTGATTGAAAGCTTCACGGGTTGATGGTAAATTTCTGCCAGTCATATTTGACAGGGTTCATCAAATATTTTTTTCTCAGTTCCCACTTTTGACCAAATTAAAATTGAAACTAATCATAGTCAAGGTATATATACCTAATTAACGGTCTTGCTCAGCACCGTATCATGTTGAGACAGTCACCAAAACGGATGTTGTTTACAGACAATTTTTAGCACACGTACAGCAGTAAAATCGGTGCATGCTGCTTTTGTGGGTACAATGAAAATCTTGAAAAGTGTATCTCTATATGCGTGGAAACGCGCGTGGCTAACTTGCAAAGCGTGCGAGTGGACCCTATATTTTAAACATCCATTTGTATGAATTTCATATACTGTATCATTAAGTTGATGCAATGGCAACGAGCTTTCGAAAAACAGGGTCACGAAAACAATAACCAAACTCAATTAGTGCCTTCGAATAACATGCAATGCAGAACCGTGCTCATAAAGCTGCATCGGGGGCGGAAGTAAATTTAAGAATTAATGCTTAGTATTTTTTATTTTCCATGATGGCAGGAATTCCATTAAGAGTCACAATTAATAGTTCTGGCCTCAGCAATATAATCAGTTATTCTTAAGTTTAAAATGAAGCCGAATAATTCTTACATCAGTTGAATTGTATAGCATTTACCCAACCGAAAACCACAAATCAAATCTGTTTCAATGGTTATGGTAAAGCCATTTTTTATGCTCAATCACATTCGCGCCTACGATCTCTAATACTTGAAAAATGTTTTCAAATAATGGTTTCTTAAATTTTCGCCTGATGTGGCGTGAACATTTTTTGTTTTATATCAATAACAGAACGTAACAAGCTTCATGAACTCCTAACAGTATTGATATTGTTGCAACTTAACTGCCCGTGAGCCGGCAGCTCAACACCCCAAATGTCATTCGGAAGATGGTTGAAATTTTTGTTCATCGAACTTTTATTTTCTTCCGAAATTTATCACTTAAATATTTACATTCATCTTGACTTCTTTAAAAAAAATTGTGTAATGCCTATGGTGCGCATCTCGATTTAAATTTGGTTTTTGGCTGAAATTAATTGATTTACTTAATTCGTTTAGATGCACTCAAGTAAGGTTATTCTGGAGTTCAATTCCATACCGCTTGAAAATTCATCGCGTACGAGGCTCTCTTTTCTGCTCCTCAAGAAGAAAATACTTCAATTTGAAACTAGAGATCTTCGTCCAAACAATTGGGGTATTCATGCGCGGAACATTTTTTGGTTCCGCATCAAAAGTTTATTTCGCCTTCTATTGGAAGACTGGCCACAAAAAAAAATGTAATGACATAGAATGACCTATGAGAATTATTGACCTGTACACAAGGTGCAGGTAACTCAGCTCCGAATAATATATACTATACCATTGTAGACAATAGTTTTCTTTAGAAATAAACATCTCTTCAGTGAAGCGAGTTGTCGTTTCATCCTGGTTAAAATTTAAATTGTTCAAGCATTTTGTGCTTGAATGATTAAATGGGATTTTATTTGTGTCATTTTTCCGGAAATGTATCATAATTTTTTTAGAAACTATTGCATCGTTTTGCATTAATTCTAGGTTATTCAAAACCTTCCAAATAAGGACCGTCAGAACGAATCCTTTCCGAACTTTTAAGTTCAGAAAACATGGAAACTTAATTAAAAAAAATTTCTGGACTCACAAAAATTTCTTTGTCAATCATTGTATAACAAATGACGGTGATAGCTGCGTCTTTATTTATATTCATGTGATGACGGCAACGTTATCGGCAAACACTTCAGCTTGACGTCGGTCAACATCTCGACGCTATCATCGCTGACTCAAGAATGCTACGTTAACACGGACGTGGCTTACGTCCTGACGTGACTGCGCTTGGTCGTCTGTAATTTGGCGAGTTCAAGTGACAATCAACAGTTAATGAGTTCTAAGTATGATGAAATGTGTTTATTTTGATGAACAAGTTTTACAGGGTATTTCCCTTTCTCCGTAATTCTCTTCTTTAATTTGACGTCTTTAGACTTAAGGGTAAAAATACGTTCGGCGGATGGCTTTAATAATCTTCAGCAGCTAGCAGATGAACATAGAATATTTTACTCTTTATGAGCCAAATTTTCTGTGGTTTTCTCTCGTGGTTATATGGTTAAACAAATCATGGTTAGCTCATTCTTCAGTTTCACACTAAATATTTGCGAACAGGATGTTGTATGTGAGTAGGTAATGAAGTGGCTCCCTTGCAATTTTTCATTACATTTATTCGTTAAAATTGTTAAAGCTATCTTGCTCGATCGTGTGTGTTGTACTACGTCTAAAAACCACACGTTTACACGAGTGACCTTCAGGAATTGAGTACATTGAAGACATTCATGATCATCCAGCCTATGAATTAGTAAATTCCATCAAATCTATTGCACTATTAATCCATGCCGCACTGATTCAGGATTTTTTTGCGCAACGCCTCATTTTTTTTACTTCCTGGCTGCTCGCTGAGTTTGTTTAGTGTACACGGGAGGCTAAAGCAGGCCAGCGACGCATGGAAAGTTGTGGAGTAATGGTGATCTTGTGTAGCGCCTGTGCCTCGGAATACGGCACACAGATCAAGCCATTAAACAAACAATCTCACAGCTCGACTTGTGGGCAGTAGTGTGTGTTTTCGGCTCTGTGCATACATTAGCTTGACTGAGTCATTACAGCTTTAGGCCTAGAATCTCTGGCAACTGGCTTTCACATTGGGGAAAGGCGAAAAAGTTTTTACACTGGTTCCCGCTGAATATTTGGGGCTAGTATCGTTAGCGCCTGGACAAATGTGAAATGACCTTGCTTTTAGAAACCTTCTGCTCGATTATAATCAATAATTTTTTGGTTGGTTTTTATAAAGTAGAAACTAAAAAACCGCACGATTTTTTAAAGATTATATCTGATATATTTAAGCCGTGTGTAAGTTCGCTTCTTTATGTATTGTGCATAACAGTATAGATATTGGGACATAATAAATAGCGGCAAACATGTTCGATATTGGGACGCATTAGATACCGAAATGAATTTTAAATGTTAGAATCGGACCGCTACATTTGATGAAGACTTTCATGTGTTGAAGACTTCATGCATAATAAAGGCGACTTCGTCTATAAAAGCTGGCGGAGGCAAAGATTATTCAGTCCTGCCGGCGTCGATTTCATTTGTCACTGACGTTTTCTTGTTAGAAAACGCTTGAATTGTCTTTTATCATTAGAGAATTGTTGCCACGGTTTAAGGCAAATTTGGTTTCCATCGAACAGTATTATTGAAAACTGGGATATGGATTAAATCTTACACTGTCCCTTCCACATAAGTGGCGTACTCCTTATTGTTTGGTGAATTCTAATTACACAAATGTAGTAATGCAGTTAGCCGTGATTTATTTATGATATTCAACCATGCATTTGATTGATATGCCGCATAGTGTTTTAAGCAATCAATTACATCTCATTTATCAGCTTCGTTTCTATCAACTAACTCAGATATTGCAGAGCTCTGGTTGGTATACGGATATTTTTATATAAAAGTATAATCAGAAATAGATAAATGAAAATAACGCAGAGTTGAGCAATAGTTTCACGTATCTATTATTGTCATTGAAAATATAATTAATTGTATTATCTACATCAGCGGTCTCGTAGTTAACGGTTGAGCATAGCCAACTTTAAGTGCATGTGATACCTTCAAAGGGTACCCACACAGTGAAAGCAGGTTTGCCCGTGTGGGCAACCTGCTCCAACCTGCCACAAGAATGAACATAGGATAATAATGTAAGTGTTCACAGTGAAAACCTGTACGAATAGGCTTCTGTATGCTATGGTTTCAACCTGCCACAAGAATGAACATAGGATAATAATGTAAGTGTTCACAGTGAAAACCTGTAAGAATAGCCCAGCGCCAGGCCTATTTATTTCAATTTCAGGCGCCGGCCGAAGCAGGTAACCAGCACGCTGGCAACCTGCTTTCACTGTGTGGGTACCCATACATACTTGGCATTTGTGTGTTCTAAGAATTAAACTTAGCATCTAACCTGCAATCGCCGTAGCTTGGATAGCACAAAACTTAGAGCATAATATTTTCGAGATTCGCGACAAAATTAAATGGTTCAAGTATTGGCTGATCTACACCAGCGAATTCTGGCTGGCATTGTGCGAAACGATGTAGAGCAACTGTTACATGGAGTTGAATGTATGAACTTTTGGTGGCTGTTAAACGCGGCTATTTGAACAAGGAGAAATGTATAAGAGCGAAGTCGCTCTCCTCAGTGTCCTATGTAATGTATAATATTTAGTTCGAGTTTGATTGAAGACCAGAGGACGAGTTCTTGATGCTTTTTTTTGTTAGTTTTTCAACATGCCTAACAATATTTTTCGTTGACATTGATGGATCGAAAATTTGTACAACATGAATTCAACATTCAAATGCTTTCCCAGTGGGCTTTTTAGAATTTGGATCAAGGCACTTTGAAATTTACCTTAACTTTGATGTTTTTCCAGCCTGACTCACTGGTGTAAAAATAAGGCAAGTTTACGCCGCGTGTCGCTGTCTGCCTTTGAAACATTTACCCGCATATTTTGGTGTACCATGTTTGCAAAAAATACGCCAAGTAAACTTGATATTTCTATTAAATATTTTGAAGATTCGTGACGCGGAGAATTTAAACCTGATCCCTTTCTCGTGCAGCATGCAAGTGCAATCTACACGCGCGGACATGCCGCTTCAACATGGAGCTGTACAAGCTGTCGGGCCGGGTGAGTGGCGGCGTGTGTCTGAGGTGCCGCCACAACACTGCAGGCCGACACTGTCACTACTGCAAGGAGGGCTTCTACCGCAACCACAACAAGCCTATCACACACCGAAAAGCCTGCCGTCGTGAGTACTACTTTTTTCACGCTTTGAAACTTTTGAAAAAGTTTTCGTGTTTTTCGTGTTTGAAACTTTTCATTGTTCGGGGTTTCATAAATCATTCGTATTTCGAGTCCTTAGGTTCGTCACTACAGGGTCCGCCATATTTATGGCAACGGATGTTTGCTATATAAAAATAAATTGGTTTCTAGGAGACTTTTCTTTTATAATGAAGCTTAATATCATCTATTAATTCATCTATTTTATATTGCAGATGTCTAAGGTGTCTAAATTTACTATTACTTATGGCAGTAGATAGAAATGCAATTGTAACCCTTCATGAAAAGGGCGAGAGTAATTCAGTCATTGCAAAAAAGCTCCAAATTCGTCGTGAACTGTGTGGAAGGTGGTAAAAGTATTTGAGGATGGCACGCTGCCCAACTTGATGTTCAGTGACGAGAAAAAAAATGACATTGAACAAAGCGTTAACCGCCAAAATGACAGAGTTTGAAGTCGGGATGGATCTGTGGCAACCAGAACAGCAACACTACGTCAAAATCCCCTGTCCGTGATGGTTTGGGCCGCGGTAACCGCCACTGGGAGGTCCCCACTCGTTTTTGTCCCCTCAGGAGTGAAATTTAACAGTCAGCGAAACATTTCGGACATCTTGGAAGCTGTGTTGTTACCTTGGGCCCGTAAACACTTCAACGGCTCACCATGGAGTTTTCAACAAGACTCTGCCCATCACATGGCTCAAACACGACCCAAAACTGGATTCAGGGTCACATCCCAGCTTTCATTTGCAAAAATGAATGGCCCTCATGAAGCCCTGATTTGAATCCTCTCGACTCTTCTGTGTGGGCTATTTTAGAGAGTAGGGTCTGCAGAACACCTCATGATTCTTTGGATAATTTGAAGTCTAAATTGACACGAGAAAGGGACCTTATCCCTCAAGAAATGCTGCGTGTCTCCTGTGAAGCTTTCCCGCGTAGATTGGAGGCCGTCAGTAAAAATAAGGGTGGTCATATTGAATAAATATGTCTGAGAATTGTTTAGGTAATTCTTGGCTACTAGCACATCCAATCAAAAAAGTATGCACCTGTTTGTTTCAGTGAGAAATAACAAAAAACATGCGTTGCCATAGATATGGCGGACCCTGAAGTGGTGATTAACATATAAGCGGGGTGAGCTCATCACTCAAAATCCTTGAAAGATCAAAAAACGTTTTATAAATTACTTTCGTACGCTTTTCAGCTCTTTTCTAATTTCCAGTAGGATTCAATTTTTTTTAAATTAGGACTCCTCCTTGTATTTCCGTGGTTAAAAAGTACATATTCGTCCTCTTGTTGTTCCACCACCGGAAAACTCGTAACAAGTTTACAATATTTCAGGCTTCCGTTTTTCTTGGTATTTATATTTGATAATATTCTCCCGTTAGTTACTTGGTATTTTTAGCCCGAACTGCAGCACCATTTCTGACCAAACCTCGCACGTGTTATACTCGTATACATAATGCGGGTGGAAACCTCCACGCGGAGAGTCTCGAAAGAGTTTGAGGACATGATGCTGTCCTTTGGGGAGGGGGGCCACGAACTGGCCAAACTCTAGACCTCATGGTTTCCTTCATAAGTCTCTTTTTCTGGAAGAAACAACAACGATGTGAAAGGTTCGGTAGAGGAGCAAGTGGTTCAGGTTGGCAGACAGGGAATGAACTACTGATTCAGTATGAATCTAATCTATTGAAGTGACTTGAGCAATCCTGCGGCTAACCTCAAAGCAGAATTCTGAATAGCGTGTAGGCTTGCGAAGACTGCAATGTGCCAGATGTAGGTCGCGTAGTTTAGGGTTGAGCGCGTGGTGGTCCTGTAGGTAACAATGATTTTCTTTAAGAAGTTCCAGTTGCTGCTGGTCATGACTTTTAGGATCCGCATGGTGCCTGTCGCATTTGTGGCAGTTGGCTCGACGTAAAGGGAGAACGAGTAGTGGGTATCCTGATTGACTCGTAGGATTTTGTCCAGTGGTATGAGTACGTTGTAGTTCATAGCATAAATATGCGTACGTGAGTGATGAGTGTCGTGGGTAAAGTATGATGGAGGATTTGCCGAGGGCTACGGTCAATTTATTGGTGGCAGACCCATCGGGGACGTTCGAGAAGAAAACGCAAGGTATGCCTCCATGTAGGGTCGTGCTTCGTCGAGGAAATAAAGATGGTGAGGTCATCTCTTCGAGGCGATGTAACAAACCGTTAATAAAGAATCGGTTATTAAGAAGGTGAAGAGCGCAATGGATCCTCGTCTAACATTTTTAAGATATTGACTCTGAGTAATATTTAATAATTCATGTGTAGGCTCTTACCAGACGATATTTTTAAAGGACCACAAAAATACATTATCCTATGTGCACTGGTAGACCAGTTTTTTAGGGTGACTGATGGAAGAAAAAGGAGGGGAGGCGAAGTCACATGTAGGCTCGTTTTGCTGATAACATCGAAAATAGTGTGCGGCGCCAAGTTCTCACCATGTTCTGCAATCAATCAATTGAAATCACTGATTTAAAATATCAGCAAAATACCGCGTATTTTGAAGATGTGAACGAAATTTCTGCAATTGCGTGATTATCAAAGTTCCGATAACATGAAAATACTTGAACATAGAAACTTTTAACATTCTGGAAATGAAAGCGTAATGTATTAGTAGAATTGGCTATGACATTACCATAGAAAAGTGACGCTGCATAACAATGAATTGCTTTGTAATAAATTGTCCACTGTACCTCAACCCATGACCGCGATAACAGCGACAACGTGCTGCTCCAGGACAATAATATATAAGGACAGTAATATAATCTCCAGGACAGTAATAGACAAAAGCCTTCCATCTCATTTCATGAAACAGATTACGTTCTATTTTGTAACACCGAAGATAAATCAAATTCTACTGTAGTATAAATTTTTGAATATAACTTCAAAAACATAATTTCCTTCATAAAAAATTTCCAAATTTTGACATACGTAGCAAAAACGAGATTAATGTTGCAATGTTCATGTAGAACCCATTATTAAAAGAGATAAACGGAATTTAATTCTAGCACTCCAGCACGCCAGCAACAATTTCAGTTGACATGAGATTTTTCTTTAATTTACATACATCTTTTAGGTTGCTGAAAAAGGTTAGTAGAATTTCAAATGCATGACGTCGAAAAAAGCATAAGCTCCCTCGAATTAAATTAGCAGAGGGAAATTTTTAACATAGGCTAGGCCTACAAGGATTGAACACAAATTCTTTATTTTTTTCACTGCTGAATGCTACTCGGGTATAAGATTCTGTCGCAGAGGCTGCAAGTGGCGTGACCTGTCGTTCCGGTCGTAATTAATTCCTGTGAGCAGCGAGCGTTGCTTGGACCCGTCGCTTTCATTTGGAGTCTAATTAGACGCGACGCCAGGGAAGGAAAAGTTCGCTGCAATGAGACGCATCGTTCATGTTCTCCTGGAGCGCAGCCAAACCGTAATTCTGCGATCTGCGCGTATATTGGAAACAGTTCATGTGAACTGGATATAGGCGAATGTTGTTGATTTTTTCCCTTTTTCAATTATTTCCTTTTTTCAATTATTTTCCTTTTTCAGTAATTCCTAGTAAAGACTTTTCAAATTCTTTTATGTGCACCACAAGAAGTAGAATTTGATTTTATCAGTAGCGCCCTCGTGTCAGTAGATTTTTTAATGTGTCGGTTGGACAGGCTCGTAGCGCCCAGAATGTGCAAGGAGGATGAACTGAACGCTATATATTAGACTGCCCAAAGTTACGCTTCACGGCAGCTAGTCTCTAATTGGCCTGAGCAATATCTGTCGTTGAGCTCCATAGGTATGAGCCCTTGTGACTGATGCATTCTGTTTGACCTGGCATCAGTTACTTTTTGAGTCAGAAGCATAGTATAGAAATTCTTATTTTCTCGTCTTTCTGTCTCGTGACGAGGCCGTTGTGTTTTTTTAACATCGAATTAAAAGATTTTCCGTTCTTTCGCTACCTTTCCCCCAAACTTAGTTGTTTCAATTGACATTCAGTGCATAAGAAATGCTGACCTTTACATGGAGACTACGGACTCTACTTTTTTCTTCTATATTATATTATAGTGCCTTAGAGGCATAAAATAATTCCTGAGGCTGAGTTTGACTGTATAAATAAAATTACTTACTGATTTATAATAACTAATTTACTAATTTAGTACATAGTTTTGGGTCAGAACGCTCACATCTCGAGGTGCTCTATTCCGCAGAAAATTGGAAGCGGCTAAGTCATTCTGAAACAACCATAAATGCGTGAGAGTTTTACTGAGCACTCACTGGCTCTCATTAAGCGCGTCAAATCCCATTCTCCGATCCTTGAAACTTTCCCTCAAACTTTCAAGAAGGGATAAAGTGGTTTAAGAAAGATCCTCGTCTAAATTGCTTTAGAAACTTCATTGCAAACATGGGCCAAGGAAAACTGTAGGTTGGCTCTAAGATTAAATTAAGTGTCGCTAGACGACGTCGTTGGTTGCAGACAATAATGCGTGTTGCCCTTATTATTTCAGTCGATTCGGTCATAGAAGGAATCATATTAACTGATATTTAATTTTTAATTTATCATAATTATGTGTCTGGTAAGCGAAGAAAGTCTAATTTGTGTTCTCGTGCAACATTAGAATACGATTGCTGAAATAACATCGAACGAGTCCTGTCTACTTTCCTTGTTTCCCCTCATTTATCATCTCTTTTGGATCAAAAAGTGCATCAAGTTCAGCTTATGTTACATGCCAATGAGTAAAAATAAAATGTTCGATCTTCAATTAATTACTTCTAACTCGCCGAAAATATTTCACTGCTGCAGTGAGGAAATAAACCATGTACTTAGAATTGAACGAAGCTGAAGCTTACGTTTAGCTTACTTTAAATAATAGCTTAACGTAAATATTTGAGTTTTGTAACGCGCCTCGCTGTTAATCAAATTATGTGCGTAACAACAAGCGCTTCTATAGCGAATATGCTGCAGAGTCTGAAGCATACCTTAAATTTTGTTAGTGTCATTAAGCACAATATCTTTCTGACGAATCCGAAGAATTTTGAGATACTGGAATTCTAAAAATAAATACTGAAAACTTTTAAGTTAAATATGTTTTTATAGTTCGTAGCCAGAGGAAATCTTCAGTATTCATTTTGTGGTACTAGTCCCCTAACTTTTGTCTTCTTCAATTATTTTATCGGCTTAGGCTTATTGTTAATAAGCCTGTAATAATATTTATTGCAGGCTTATTAACATTACGAGGGCTTCCTCTGAGCTGCTGACTTCTATTTTAAACCAAAGTTTTTAAAACCGGGAACGAACGAATTTCTCTCATTTTTACTGTGCTTCTGAACGATCCCGGAGATTCCCTCGTGAATGAAGAGCGAGTTCATTATTGATTACCTATCATTCAATAATTTCTGTCCGGCCATCATTTTGACGATTAGTCCATCTGTAGATACTCTCAACTTGTGTCGTATGAAGTCATATCGTTCTCAAATATCTAATTCGAAATAAATAACCAATTCAGGCAAGTAGGTGGTAGTTCAAAATCTTTGGCTTTACCCACAATTCCTGCTAACCATTCTGTTCACGGAATTCTTTGGCACGAACAATTTAGCCTTTTTCCCAGCTCGGTATTTTTTAGTCTCCAGAGCTCCGACAAAAATTGTTAACATTTCGCGTTTGGCCAGCGTCAGGTTTCCGCAGCGACACGCTATTCGCTTTCAGCCTTCTTCTTTCTGGTGGTCCTTAACTTTTGATGCAAGTTCTAATGTTCAAAATTCCTGCCTATTGCTTGAGCGAACTTCTACATTGAAAATTCGGTCTTCTTTTTCGGCCTGAGTCAAACTTGGTTTTCTTGAGAAATTCTGAATATTAAAAAAATACCGTTGTTTGTGCCCGTGTTCTTTACTGCATGATTGATGATTGCAAATTATTGGTTGATTTACAGCTACGGTACATTTGCTAGGGTCATGCAATGTCATTAATTTAGTTGAAAAGTGAAGATAGGGAAATCTTTCTTCGTGATTGCTGTAGTCTTGAATTGTGGTAGCCTATAGCATTTTTTTCAATTTGAAATACATGTCTCATCGTTATTTTGAGAAATAAAGTCATTTTATTCATATAATTATTTTTAATTTATTTTTTCTTGAATGGTCTGCTGCCGGCATGTAACTTTCCTTTATTTGACGTTGGTTGCTCTGTAAAAAGCGGTAAAGCTAAAACTCTACAGATTCATTTCTTAATTACTTTCAATGCATTATCGAATGGCTTTCTCGAAGGCGAGCGTCGATCGATATCGAAATTTTGTAGAGTTGATTAACTAGATATTTTCGCCAGCCCATTAAGAAAGCTGGAACCTTTACGAACTTGAATTTTAACTTTTGAGCGATTTAAATCGATTGCCAAACTATATAACTAAATTAGTAGTAAAAATGTATTGAGCTTCAATGTATTTGAGTAATCACATAAATTTATTTCAAATTAATGGAAATGAATGGAGAAATTTGTAATTAAATAATTTTCGATTATGCACATCGGACAATTTCACTAAGCAGGTACTTGCAGTTAACGTTCGCTATAAAGTTTGCATGTAACCAGCTATGATTTATTTATTGAAGAAAACACTAAGTGCTCGAGAAAAAATATCGGGCATGTGACCGTTTTGATGAAGCGGAACTTTCATGTGGAAGCGTAAAGTAAAGAATGTCTATTAAACTTATAAAATGTTACAAATTAAATTAAAGATAATGGCACAGATACTTGACTAAAATGAGAGGAAAACTAAATTATATTTACTGGCATTCGTTATAAAATATTCTGTGTTTTATGACTCATTCGTTACATAAAAATATTGAAATTGATTGTCTTTTTCAAAGAATTACGTATTCATGAAAATAGGTATATATATATATGACTCTTCCATGACAGTGTATCGTCCTTGTATTTATAAATAAGTTTGAGTAATTTGTTAAAACTTGATCCTATATACCTACTCCCAACTCGAGCAAAGCTCACTCAGCTACTCGAAATTTTTGCCGCTCCCATCCGAGTCATCGGAGGCGAATGAAGAATCAAAGCAATTTAGCTTTCCCGCATCGCCTTTTCGAAATCTCATTATTTGATAGTCCTAAACTTATTGCTGCATAGAGAAGCTACTGTTCACTCATAATACTTTCTTAATGGTGTTTCCTAGGCCATACTGGTATTTCTTAGGACATGCTGGAGTTTCTTAGATCTTAGGGTATACTTGGTGTTTCTTAGGTATTACTAAATATCCATCTTGTCCTGCAGCCTGCAACTGCCACCCTGTGGGAGCGGCAGGTCGCACCTGCAACCAAACCACCGGCCAGTGCACGTGCAAGGATGGAGTGACTGGACAGTCGTGCAACAGGTGTGCGGCTGGCTACATTAGCATCGCACCTACTGTCACTCTTTACAATGGTATTTTCTCTGGTGTTCAATGAAACTTGCTTATTGTATTTTGTTGCGCCACCAGTGCAAGATCACCAACAAGAGCACTACGACTGGATAGTGCAAATTGGCTTAATCAGATACGAATAGGAATGCCGTAAATTGCAGAACCATATAATATTTGTGCTGAATCTTATGGGGCCAGTAATCATCTAAGATATTTTCACTTCTCGAACTTCATTAATATAATTATTCTTTCACACCAACAAACCTCTTTTAATTGCATATTAACGAGTAAATATTCAAATAAAATAATTAGCGTTCATATTTCAGATCGTGAAAATAAACCAAAATTTACTATCATTGTGATAGATGGAATCAACATTAAAAATTAGGTAAATTTTCATATTGTGCGAAAATAATTACGTAGGGTTCATTCCGTATCTGTTAGGATGGACGGGTGTTTCCATTTACAATAACATTGGTTGGCCATCAATCATTTCGTTTAAATTAAGTCGACGGAAGATGTAAATCCTGTACCTGACTGAAATACACCAGCATATACCAACGGAGTAAATACCAGTATTACGCAGCCTATATACAAAGCACTTATAACCACAAAATCGATAATAAATTCAAGTTCTGAATATTACAGAAGCTTATCAGTCACTATGATTGAATCACCACTCACGCGTTAGGTAACGTCACATTGACAGTCTAGTTAGAACAAGATTTGAAAATTTTGAGATCACAATAATTAAATAGTTAATGTGAATAGGTTCAAAATTTACCCCAGGTCAACAGCGTAACAACAGGTCAACAGAACGCAGAACTGCGCAGTTAATGAGAAAATATTGTATGAATTTACATTTAACGCCAGTGGCTCTGCTTCACTCGAGTATCCTACCTCCAGCTTAATTAATGTCGGTAGACCATAGACTTAGCCGTGATGAAAAATATCTCGATTCAAATTATATCATTGCCGACTTTGCTTGACGACTAAGGTCTATAAAATCCTACAATCTCTCCTACAAAAAGCCAAAGATTTTGTTCCTCTGAAATAACAAATTAGGATTACATAATCGCTGCCGCACAAACTCGTTTTCACTCCACGACCATGCAGATCAAATTTGATCTCATATCATCATAAGACCAAGCTTACCTATAATTCAGTTATGTTTGATCTAACGACTTCGGGGGTTGGTTATCATTGATGCCGCACAGATCGTATTGATTTTCCTTCCAAATTTATTGATCCCGCAGATTCGGCCTGGAACTCTGTAAGACTTGTTAGTTGCTTTATCTTCTCAGATTATAGCATCAGCTTATTAAAGAAGTTCTACGAAATTAACCAAAAATGTAACTCAGTACTCACTGCAGTGAGTGACAGTCTGACAGAGAGCGCATTTTCTCGTCGACGAAAACTTAAGGTCACGGACGGACAGACAGACAGACGGACATGGCGAGCACAATAGTACATTTTTTCCATAAATGAGAAAATGCGCTAAAAATTGCACTATTGAACATAATCCGTTTTACCGCCCATTTCTAAATTAAAGAGCGTACCCGCGAATCATTAAATTAAAATATTGCTGCCATGTGCGCCAAATTACTTTCCTCCCCATAAAGTATCTTGGCTACAAACTTTTTTTCCGACCAGTCACGAAGCTGACTGATTGCAGGAGGTAGCGTGATCATTCTTCTCGTGTGTAGAGAATGATGCGTCATTTCCGAGACGGGAAAATCTCTAGAGAAATCTGCGGAGAGAGCCCTCCCTGAGTCAAGTACCTCGCCCCAGGCTCCTGCCTCCGCAAACACCACCTCTGATTAGATAGATTTTTGCTGGGAGTAGCGGTAATTTTTTTCTTCCTTCCAATAGACAAAATTCGGTATTGGGTTGTATATTTTACGTATATTTCACTCCTTGAAAGTTCCTGTTCTGTTCAAGATCAGGCTCTATAAGACGCTTTATGAAGATTTCTGTTGTCGTTCTTCAATAGTGAATACATTTAATTATGGAAAAAGGGCCGTTATATTCTTTGTTTAACCATGAGATAGAACGAAAAAGCGTGAACTATGGTTTCTTTCACGTTGCAACTGCTTTAGTTGTACTAACTTGATTGTTCTTTCAGTTGAGTTGTTTCAAAGTTGTTCTAAAATTTGTTGCAGGAAATGTTATAGTTATTAGTTAGATTGTCGTGTAATATTTTAACTAAAAATATAATCTATTTCCTTTTTCCATTGCCTTTTCAAGGAAAACACGTTTTGGAAGTTATTTTTTATCTGTCCTGGCATGAATCAATTATAAATATTATTTAATTTTATTATTTTATTCATATTATTATTAGGAAATTGTACATCGTAATCTGAGGGCATCGGAATGTTTCAGAAATTCCGGATGCGTCCCCAGCGTTGCCGAGCCCCGTGGACCCCAACTCCCAGCGCCCCCCGGGGTACGGGGTGCAGAGGTCCGCTCCCCCACACCCCGACCCCTCCACCTCCCACTACTCCCACAACGACGTCAACGCTCGCCACGCATACTCTTATGCTGGTAACTTAACTCTATGAGGTTTATCACTTTAATTAAAGTTCTTGAGGTTTTTCTTTTAATTTCGAGTTCAAGATCAAATTTAAAGGAGAGTGCAGCACTCGAGGGAGGAACTTTTAGCAAAATATGTGAGAGTGGAAGCATGTGTTAATATTAAAAAATGTGAAACGGAGAAACGAAAACGAATGAACGCCGTGATATTCGTTATGGGTGTAAAGAAAGTCAATTAGTCGCGCTTCGTAGTTTATTTTTCATCATATATTTTATATTGATTGAAGAATAAGTCCTCCTATATGGCTCAGCTTTCGTGAAAATATTCCCCTTGCAACATGTTTCAGCATTCTTTGTTTGCAAGGATATTTTCCGTACGGTTTAACAATCATGGCTTCAAATATTGTCCGTTGCAGGAGACCAAGCTGGCTGTGGGAAATGCAAAGTTGGTCGCAGGAGAATCACCGTACAAAAATACTGCCGTCGCGACTATGGTATGCCCAAGATCACGGTCAGGAATGTCATACATATATACTGCCTTTTTATCTATATACTGAACATTTATAAAGTCAGTATTCGTGTAGTATGACAGAAGCTGCATTAACTTCAATATTTTTTGTTTGTAACTTTAGTTAGTGTTAGTTAGTTAGTGTAACCTTAGTTTGTAACGCCGTCACTTAACTCGAAATAGTTAACCAGTAAACTTGAATGGTCGCATGCACGACATGAGATGTTGTGTGTGGTGTGCAGCCGATAGAAGCTGTATTAACTTTAATATTTTTTGTTTATAACCTGAAATAGTTACTCAGTAAAAACTTGAATGGTCGCACGCACGACATGAGACGTTGTGTGCGGTGTGCAGCGGTGCTGGGCTACGTCACCAACAGCGAGGTTGGTCCGGAGTACACGCGCTTTGATCTTCAGATCCGCAACGTGTTTAAGCGGACACGCAGCGTCCGCGTGCGCCGCGGCGTCGAGCAGCTCTGGGTGAAGAATGCCGACCTCGCCTGCAAGTGTCCTAAGCTCAAGATCGGCAGGTTTGCAAGTGTTTCGCTGTGAATTTCAGAAATGTAATCATAAACAATGCGTGTTTAGATCAAATCATTTAAAATGCAACTATAAATCACTTCAACAGAGCAGATAATTTCAGGAATTTAATCATAAACATTGCGTATTTAGATCAAATCATTTAAAATGCAGCTATAAATCACTTCTTGCTGCATTTTTTCCATATACTATTTTGGGCATTTCTTTAGTTTTTATCACATTTTTCTAGAATTGGTGTAACTTGCGGTTTTAGAACAGAAAACTTGTTTTGTAGTAATCATTAAAACCATGGTATTTAATGAATTTACGGCTACGTTTTCATACATTCTGTCATATGACCGCAATTTGGTTCAGTATTATGTTCAAGGTTTATGACCGTGATCATACCACAATGACCGTGTGTGTGCAGTGAGTACCTGATCCTGGGCAAGCAAAGCGACCACAATTTGGTACAGTATCATGTTCGATGTTTATGACCGTGACCATACCACATTGACCATGTATGTGCAGTGAGTACCTGATCCTGGGCAAGCAAAGCGACCACAATTTGGTACAGTATCATGTTCGATGTTTATGACCGTGACCATACCACATTGACCATGTATGTGCAGTGAGTACCTGATCCTGGGCAAGCAAAGCGGGCGAGCCCCGAGACCGGGCCTGGTGGTGAACCAGCGCAGCATTGTGCTGGAGTGGCGCAACTCGTGGACTCTGCGCATGCGCCGTCTTGACAAGAAAGCATCGCAAGCCAAATGCCGTGACAGGTACTGAACAAACCCTGGCATAAAACAAACCTTAATCTCTATCATCTTTTAGCTCAGTATCTGTAATTGAGACCGACAGCCAAATGCCGTGACAGGTACTGAACAAACCCTGGCATAAAACAACCTTAATCTCTATCATCTTTTAGCTCAGTATCTGTAATTGAGACCGGCAACGCTGATTTTCATCGCGCGATTATGCATTCGAACGTTTTTGACGTCGGTCGCTACCAAAAGCATATTAATTATCACTAAGAAGACAAGTGGTCTTTATTCTCGCTCTTTAATTAGTCTTAATTCACACCATTTTAAATGTGCTATTTTTTCTCTCATTCGAGTACAAATTCTATTTTTGGAGAATGTATGATAAAAAATTTCCACCGGTTGCGACGATCAGCAAATTTTAATAATATTGGACATATTGTTAAGACAAAATATAAAGATATCTTTGTGAAAATAATATATTGAGCTCTCAGTCAATTTTTTTTTTTAGCAGGGACGATCGCCGGTAGTCACTGAGGTGTCAGACCAAAAAAAGTGGCATCATTGTTGGCCGATCATTCTGCAGTTTCTCATTCGAGGAAGGGCATTTACCTCAGAGAAAAGGGAAGTATTTTCTTCGATGAAACTGCAGTAGTTCGTTAGCCTTTTGACCGTTAATATCAATAATAATTTGAGTAATAGATTGATAAGTCGAGCAAAACTGTTCAAAAACTTCCAAAACGCATACAAAATTAATCGCACCAAGCTATGTCACGACGCTCCCCTGCAAAATGTAATGTATCCTCTTTCTGCCCTACAAGCCGTACAACGAATGGTTATACGGCTCAGTGACGGGTAAACAGTTATTAGGAGCGAAGCAAGCTCATGTATCTCGTTGAAATATGGCTGGCATGACGCGGTACGCTGTTTGGAAATTTCTTTAACTGAACAGAAAATAAATCTTGACATTCTAGTGCCCGGCCATCAAGATCGACAATGAACTTTATAGTGGAAGAATTCGTTACCGAGCATCAGAGTTTCTTCGCGTATGTATGTGGGACCTTATGCCAAATGAAGAGCTAAAAACTTTCGACGTTGTAGTAAGACGCGTCTTCCCTTTGTCGTCTTTGCAAGCCTGGTGCGTCAATTCAAGCACCGTGTTTCGAAATTACTTCAGCATTCCCATTGCTAACATTTATACATTTGTTAATAAAATCAGTTGATCGTTAATTAGTAACCCTGGTTATTCAGGCATTGCAAAAGAATTGACGGTCAATACCTTCAAATGACCACTTTAAAGAGCCTAAAAAGTAAAAGTTTGCTCGGTTTGTTCAATATTCGTATTCATTCATGACGTGATTAAATTTTATTATACGAAATAAGAAATGAAGGCCATTCCATAGCCTTGTTTTCTAAGGCCATATAAGGAAGTATTTGACTTCAAAATCTCCTATGAGGCTCCGAATCTCCTACATATCTCCTACGAGGCTCCACAGGCCGCCTTCTAAAAAGTTTTCAACTTACGTTTATTGTATAAAATCTTGTCGTAACCAATGTACGTGTTCTTGATCATTTAGATGGTGTAAATATTTTTTCTTTAATGCTGATTTTTTAACCTGCCTCGCTTATTAGAGGCAATAACTTGATGTTGTGCAATCAACGTAGCTTTTATTGAAGTATATGTAACGTAGCATGCACTTCAGTAAAAATTATAATAATTTGTGTCGTCGCCTTCTATTTATGCGCATTGATTTTTCACTGTATTACTTTCATAAACACTCGAATTCTTGATCTAAAGATTTTGCTTAAATTAGCCCCGTTCTGTGAATGTCTCAAGCTGCCATAGCAATATCATATCCCATCGCATATGTCGGACTTGACCGCTAAACTCGTGCCATATTTGTGAATTCAAAACAGAAATGGTGGGAAAGTTACAGGACACGAAAACTAATTAATGATGTGTATATTGCACAAACAACCTTTAAAAGTACATGACTATTTTAGTTTACAGCCTTTTTATAGTTCTTTGTTAGTTTTGCCGTATTCTACGGAACTATTCTACTTGTGATCCACTCATTATTCTGCAACGAAATGTATCGCACCACAGCTGACGATGTTAGTCCAGTAAAGATTGTTTCGATGTCCGCTGCTTTGCCGTGGCGCGTCACAACCGCTCGACACACGATGTCGGGCGTGGCTGAACTGCTCCTGCTCGGCTAATATCTTAGTAGTTAGTCTTATGGCTTTAATTGTACTATTTAAGTCGTCCAGTCAAAGATGTCCGTCGTCTTACATAATACTCCTGATAGTATTACAATACAATATAGCGTAGCTCTTGTACGCAAAACCCCTTTAGTAGAGAGCTTTGTAGAATAGTTGCGCATGTAAAGCTCTTAGTCCTGCACCCACCACGTTTCTCTTCAACGTAAGCAATATTAGAATCGAGTCGTAACAAATACTTGAGCTCTCCCTTACTTAATTGTAAATATCTGTTGGGTTAATATCCTTGAACTAGATGTGCAATGTTCGTTCAGTTCAATGCACTTAGAAGTTTCCTCTCATGAGCGCACCTGCGGCAAGCTTTAAATAACGAACTTTTATTAAGACTATTTACTCCAGATGATTGGAAGCAAGTTTGATAGTTGTACTCTGGCAATGAAGCAATTAAAACAAAAACTCCTGGACACAATAGTAACTTTGCACCACCAGGTAGCAAATCACCTAATCACATCTCAACTGACAGGTTCCACCATTAACTTAAAGTTGATCCTTTGAGAAACTGTTTTCTAACTATTCGGTGTCATCATACGGTGTTCGGAGCTTTGGGAGTGTAATGCACTTTAGCATGGGGAGTGTGATGCTCTCTAGCATTGGGAGTGTGATGCCGTCAATAATAATAATAATGAATAATAGCGGTTTCAGCGTTTAGTAGGTCGTAGGACTGTCGCCGATTCTTAACATCGCAGAACATTCACAGCATTTTGCGGTTTCGAACTTGCAACTCACTGCTACAATTCTGCTGTGCTTAACCGCCCGGCTTCCTTGCCGATTCTGACCAGAAACTGGCGCACAGAGCTGGGATCGAACCCGCACCTCTCTGCGCCAATCTCGGTACTCTGAACTGTAGCCACTGGGCCACCCGGCCCTGCCCATCGCACTAATCTAGCATCGAGTAGTGTTATGCATCCTATCATGAATGTACCGCATGGCTCATTTCACACCAGAACAGGTATTCATACATCAGAGTCTTTCGAGGTGTGCAGGTGCAGTCAACACTTCGTTCAGATCCCTAGTTTGATCGTAACGATGATCTGTAGGTCCCCCAAAATGTGGTTAGGGAACGTTCGTATGGTTGGGTGAATACCCCTAACCATACATGAATATATTTTGGGTCGTGAAAATATTTGGTTTATAATATACATTTCATAAAAGTGTTCCTCTTTTGAGACGAGATAACTTGGAAGCAATTAGCAGCTCATGCCACTCCCCACCCTCCAGGTCTCAAAGGCCCACCGTTACATTCAAGCAGCAGGTTCACTTAATGCGCTAATTATCAGCGTTTTGAAGATAAAAATATTATATTAGAAGCAATTAGTAATTCATATTAGCAGCTAATATGTAGTATTAGAGGTACGCGGTGAACCCATCTGACCTTCAGTTGATAATCAATCACAAATAGGTTTGGAACCGCTGGCTTAGATACACTCGTCTTGAACCGCTATTCCAACACAGCCTTCATTTTATGGGAAGCGACTTATTTTGCTGTTCCTCTTTTGTTGGAACAATTTCTTTTTTACACTTATTAAATTACAATGTGTCACGAGTTATTCAGATATTCCGTAAGTGTACAGTCCTTTAATTCAAATTTCCGCGGACCTTTGCGAAGCTAGAAGAAGCATTGAGTCCCAAATGGGGGAAAACGTGCTGTAAACTTTTCAAGTTCCTAAGTTACATCATATTTATATTGTACATACGGATGAGTTTTATTAATATACCTAATTTCACATTGAATAATCTTATCCCAAATGTTTTACCGCATAAGTTAATTTTATTCTATGTACTACTTACCTTTATTGTGCGGAAAATTGTGGACTTTCTAAGAAATAAATTGACTCTCAAATCGTCTGACGCTGAGGCTCGTGCTTATAGACTACAGGATCTGTCGTAACTGAAACTATGCTGGCGTTATGAGAACAAAAGCTTGAACAAAATGAGTTATTTCTTAGTGCGTAGTCGTAAGCCCTAAGCGAGATATTTTCTCATATTGTTGCTATTGGTTCTAATGATTGCTAGTTGTATTCTAATCTTGAAAGTGCCATCCAGCTATCTGAATCTTTTGAAACGAATCATTCAAAACTTTCATTTCGCCGGCCAGTCTTATCTGTTCTCAAATATGTCTCTGAACGTTGGAAGTATGTTTAAGCTTACAAGCAGGGAAGCTTTATAATAGTTACCTCGCTTCTAGTTATCAACATAGCACATGATATTATCAAGCTTCTAACTTTCAAATCTGCTTGCAGTTTTTCGAATTTCGTGTTAGTCCTCAAAACAGCGCTCAAGCGCGGTTCAAAGTACAGCCTTTCCACTAATTTCCTATGATTATTATCAATGTTCTTTAAAAGCCTATACGTCTTTTTATGAGGATTATAGATATGACAAATTTCAAGAACAAAAAGTTAAGTATAAGATGTCTGACCTCATACAAAAGCATAAATAGTATATTCAAAACTAAGTTCCACAAGTTGCTCCTTGCACTTCTTATTTGAAGAAACTGATGGTGAAGGCCAAGATATTAATCTTAATTTTATTCCGTTTCCATGGAATTGAGTGCACACTCCAGTCTCTTGTAAATATATCGTACAACAAATATTGTTTACTTATCCTAATAATTTGTATATTTAGGGTAGAGCTCTTCATTCAAACATGTTTGGTTAAAAATAATGCAAGTTTTATTGAGGACATCTTTTGAGTTTAATCTCTCAAGCTTTCGGATAAGAGGTACAGAAACAGGGTCAATAAGTCTTAAAATTTGGCCAAATGGAAGGTTAGTAGTTGTAGTAGTCATTGGCATGACTACTACAACCCTATCAAGACGGCTCACAATGCACTTAGTTTCTGGTTGACCAAAAACACACGCCATGGATAACCACAACACCAAATTAACCCGGGAAGAATTGGTACAAAATACAAAAATCCTTCGTCATGAACCAGACTACAACAGACTACAAATAATGGAAGCAATTCTAATCCAACGGAAAAAGCCATACCTAAACAACCAAACGACTTGATCCGAACGCATAAACAACCAAACGACTGGATCCGAACGCACTTTGAAACTTCATAACTAGAACAAGTGTACAACCGACTGTATAAGAACCTTACTCGTAGCCTCGTTCACTACCTATACTAGTCTTCTCTCTGCAGAAAACCCGCAAGCAACTCTTCTACTCAGCTGCTCGACCTCGTTGCCTGAAGATGCTCAGTGATGAGCGAAACGCGTCGCAGGATTTACCTAACCTTCCATTTGGCCTAATTTTAAGACTTATTGACCCTGTTTCTGTACCTCTTATCCGAAAGCTTGAGAGATTAAACTCTAAAGATGTCCTCAATAAAACTGGCATTATTTTTAACCAAACATGTTATCCTAATAACTGAAACTTTCCTTGTTATTTTCATGATCAAAAGATAGAAACGATGACGGTAATAAAATTTTAAGAAAATGGGCATCAAGATAAAAGAAATGAGGGCAAATTCTGAAGATTTATTTTAATTACTAATTTTGGTGATTTTACAAGGCATCGCTAGGATGAAAGATGAACTGTCAAGTGCAAGTGCTGATGCTAGGTAATTGAAAATAATTAGGGTAATCATAATAACATGGACTTAAGTAACTAGTGCTTCGGAGCAGCTCGAATGTCATCACAATGCCTATTCGGATAATGTACGACGTGAAGTATCCGTATACAAATGCGTATATTGTACGCATTAGTATACGCATACTAAACGAATACAAATACGTATATTATACGGATAAATTTATCGAACATTATTTTAGCCTTTCATTACGAACATCATTTTAGCCCTTCATTATGAGAACCTTTCAGGTATGGATTCACGTGGATGCATATACTTCATATGTATGTACGTATGTTACGCATCTATCATCATAAAAATCCATGATTGCCATCATTCTTTATTCAATTTATTCAACTATTTGTTAGACGCAGGCGACTTTATCAAGCAAAATATCCGAACACCAGTATTGTTTGATTTCTGAAATGCTAGTTCCTGAATGAATATTAGAATCTAACAAATTATTTGCACAATCAGGATACAATTCTTTCAATTAAAGTTTTGACCAAGAAATTCAAATGCAAAAACTTGCAGAGCAAAATTTGGACCTGACGAAACATTTTGTGCCAAGAGTAAGGCACTTCTCCATATAAAAGGAAAGAATTGAAGTAACTGGGAGAAAATATCTCCTACATTTTGTCATGCGAAGAGTAAGATTTGTGATGCATAAAAGTAAGCCGCAACTGGCAGTAGACATTATATGCTACAAAAGCTAGTTCTTCACTTCTATCAGGAAGAATACTAGCGCCACTGAACCAATAGACTCGCGTCGGTGAAGCGCCTCATTGACAAAACATTGGCCGCTGGCATTGGGCACGCTACCTTGATGACACCGGAACTCTGAGCAGCAGTCCAGGCTTTAGAAACAGCGATCGCTTCATCTCAGACGGCCATATCCTGACAACAATCCTGTTGTCTGTCGTTTAACGCGTTGGTGGTAGGGACTAAACTAATAATCATTTGCTTGGACGTTACAAGGAATAAAAATATTCAAGTATTATTAACGGAACACTATTAGGTGGTCCTATTTGTTTTAGTATTTATTTAAATTTTATGCGGTAATTTTAGTTTATTGTTTATAGTACGAAATGATAATGATGACAGAATAATTTTCGAATGAACGCTGGCAATACAGCGATGTGCTACATTGTGATGCGATTTGAATTTGAAAAAAATGGATAACTATCGACGCATCGTGCCACCATACTGCTGTGGCTGAACTTCCATGCCATTGCGGACGATGTAAGAAGAAAGCTGTGTTAACTACCTGTTTTGGATCGCTCATGGCCTTTTGTGCCGTTCCTATTCGTTAAGTCAGCTATTGTTCATGAATTTTGCTATATCATCAGTTATGCTGAATTTTGATCATCACTTCCAGTCTCTCACGCCGCCACCGAATTACTCTGATCTGACTCGACAGCAAGATTAAACTTCCCTGGCTACCTCCAGGCTTAATTTTCCTCACCATGTTCAGTTGTTGCCTCAAAGTGTGATTGACCGATTTGTGCCCCCAGGTGTGGTAGGTACCACTTTATTAGTAGTTTATCCGTTATTAATAATTATAAACGTGTTTATTGTAGTCCTCAACACGTGTATTATTAAGTTTCTTTACCTCCGATACCTCCTCAGGCTCCTGCCGATACGTGACTGGGCACATCAACAACCTGAACTGCTTCAGACGCAAATGCATCAACTACTCGCATCTGAAGAGCAGTAGTAGTATGATAGTTGCCAGCGCTTCAGCTATCAAGCTATTTTACACCGGAGGACAAAATATAACGTCGCAAGCGAGGCGAAAGGTCTCAATTAGGCTATTCAAAATCTCAAATTAATCATCACCCACAAGGGGCGGAATGTCTCAATTGTCCAGCCCGCTACAGCTGGCTCGAAGGAAGCAGCGTTAGCATCTCAAAGAGACGAAGTGACAAGGAGGGACAGGTGAAAAGCAACAGAAACTAAGACACTCGAACAAGAGGTCGCTTATGCGGGACGTCAGCCGCCCGCACGAGGAGACAGAGAAGGGAAATGTAAGGAACCCTACCTACATAATAACTTGATGTAAGGAATCCTACCTACATAATAACTTGATGTAAGGAATCCTACCTACATAATAACTTGATGTAAGGAATCCTACCTACATAATAACTTAACCCCACAACTGAAGCCTGCAGTCAGACACCGAAAACTCGCAGCTAATACTAGCCCGTGTATAAGCACCAAATAACCTTGCATTAGACGTACGATATTAGCTACTTTCATCTACAGACGAAATTAGCAAAATATTTCAAGTGTGAAGTACTTCCAGCGAATACTCGCAGCTAATACGATTCTCGTGTATAAATATCTTGAAAGATTCATTAGTAACCCCTGAAGCTGTACGGTCTTGCAGTAATTTAACTTAGTTCTCATGACCCAAGAGTAAACGCTTCCAATGTGTCAGTCCTGAGTCCAGACTGGTCGTTTCATGATTTGGGCTGTTGCAATTAAGATGCAAGAGAAAGTTTTAACTATGATTGTACGTTATTTTTTCTTCATAGGTATAGATGCCGTGGAGCGGACGTTTATCGTTTTAGGCATGGCGTGAACGAGACCTTTTTGATTTTCGGTATTAGAGTTGAATCAAAGAACGCCGTTTTGATGGGATGTCTGTCGGAGACCACCACTGCCGTGCTTCGAATGGACTTTCATAATCTCTTCCCTCAATAACGTAGCCGACAACACTTTTTGACTGTAACATTGTCAGTCGCAAGCCAACTTAAGCAAATATGCTAGGCGTTCTATTCAGGGCTGATTGTAGCACAAAATTGGTGGTGCACGGCTGCGCTCACGATCCACTATGTAAGTTTCATTCAGTGCTAAACAAGACCTCGGAAGTGCATTAAAAAGCAACTCTGCTTCCGTTTAGAAGAGTATTGGTTCTAGTTAGTTTAGTGGCCAAATGTTTACTAGCGCTTCAGCTAATTAGCTATTTCGCACCGAAATTCAAGATGAACATCACCAATAAGGTGGTGGAGAGGTCTCAGTTGTCGAAAGTTTCTCAAATCAAAAATTGTTTATCACCCACAAGGGGCGGAAGGTCTCAATTGTCCAGCTCGCTGAAGCTGGCGCGAAAGAAGCAGCGTTAGCATCTCAAAGAGATGAAGTGACAAGGAGGGACAGGTGAAAAACAGCAGAAACGAAGACGCTCGAACAAGAGGTCGCTTATGCGGGACGTCGGCCGCCCGCACGAGAGAGATAGAGAAGGAAAATTTAAGGAATCCTACCTACATATAAATAACAATGTAAGGAATCCTACCAACATAACTTAACCCCACAACTAAGACCTGCAGTCAGACACCGCGTACTCAGCGGTGGGGCGCTCAGGAAAAATTCCCCTAGGAACGCGAAATCCCATAGGACTTTTGACGAGCACAGACACGCGTCCGAAGTCCCCCTTGAGGAGTCAGAAGAGTATTAACTTAATCATGTTCTCCTAATTAATGAGAATTTGGCATATGGACGGAAAATATATTTGTCGTAGTGTAGAGGTTTGACACGCAGGTGTTCTCTAAACGAATCTGCCGCGAGGTCACGAGCGGGCTGAGCGTTTCTAGGCTGGCCATTTGGTTCGTTGGCTTCCGTGGATGAGGTGAGGAGGTGTTAGTGTCCTGGTTGTGATTGCCGGTTAGGCTCGGCTTGTGTGTAGGAGTCAGCCTAATGACGAGTTAACTAGAGTCTTGAAGTTCCTCGTGGAGGCGTGACCCCCCCTAGGCTTGCCTGGGCCGAGCCATCGTGTTCCAGGGCCGGTATCTGTGCCGCTTGAGGTGGCACGTTAACGTATTAGGACTTCCCCTGAAGAGATACGCGGCTCTCGGGAAGTCGGCGCGTCTCGTGTTCAGTGTTTTGTAAAGGTCAATAGGTTTTAGAATTGTCGCGGGTCGACTATTTGAATAGATGGTTTTTAGTTAAGTAGCCGAGTAGTATTTGATAGTATTAGTATTTATAATTGTAGTTAGTATTTATATTTGTTTGAGTTTCTTGTCTAGATCGAATAAAACTTCGGGTTTAATTTTATTCTTGTGCCTTAGTAGGTCGTATTGTATGCGTCATCCCACGTTACCAGTAGCATCTCCTGCCCGGGAACATTGAGCGTTTAGGCAGCTCTGATTATATTTATTAATAGTAACCCGCTCTCCCGTAACAGTAGTAACATATCAATTTCAAGTCATTTTTATGGTTGCAGACAATAGTTTGAGTACGTGTGTGTGTTTTGAGAAACACGTAAGGATACTAAGTATCAAAACGGGAGCGCAGCAGAAATTTTTCACCGTCAAAAATACTTAATATTCCAACGGTAAAAATCTAGTTTAGCATACATTATAGTTACGGATGCACTCTTTAACGCTGGACAGGCGGCCTAACTAATCGAAGAGGATGAAAACAACAAATTTCAGTAGCATGTAATTATTGGAATATCACGCGTTCGAACACACAATATTTTGGAGAGGTAAAAAAGTACACGTATCTTGGAATAGAAGTTGAGATAGAACTGCTATAGCTAGGCTATTGACTTGGCACTCAACAAGGTTACATAATAAATATTTCCACTATTGCGATAAAAAAACAAACAGGTTTAAACTGAACGGTTATTAGTGTAGCATAAATTAAGCTGATAAATAAATTAAATGAAGCACAATCTAAAAACTACCGTCCCAGCAACTTCTTCTTTTGACTCGAAAAAATTTTCTACCAAGAAATAGATGACGTCTGAACAAGACGGGTACAAATACTAACAGTGCATTAGAATCGATATTAAAGAAATAAGAGATTTTTAATTCAATAGAGTAGTTACAAAGCTGAATTCTGATAATAGCGAAGTAAAGGTTCAAAAATGCCGCAGCGATGGAGAACTCCTGTCAGGTCTGCAGGCCATAAGACGAGAACTGAGAGTAGCGACAGGTGGGCGGGCATGCAGCGTTAGGGGAGTGAGTATGAAGGTGATAAGGGATGGATTGAGAATTAAGGTGATTTGGAAATTAGTGTGAATGAAGGTGATAATGGAATTAGTGTGAATGAAGGTGATAATGGAATTAGTGAGAATGAAGGTGATTATGGAATTAGTGAGAATGAAGGTGATTATGGAATTAGTGAGAATGAAGGTGATTATGGAATTAGTGAGAATGAAGGTGATTAGGGAAGGAGTGAGAATGTCCACTACTTATTACCATTAGTAAGCCTGTCATTAATAACTTGGTTGAGGGTCCTAAGATACAAAAAACATAAGATGAAGAACCAAAAAACAACGACTCCAAAAGAAGCCAGAATTATTCAGGGGTAAACATGCTGTGATACATTAGCTGTCACCGGCAAGGAGACGGCGCAGCAGAGCCTGGAGTGAGATAACGCGACGACTGCGACGTGATACTCGACCTGTGGGATGATGGGGTTTAGTGCTGAATCTTTGGCTGCTAGCAATAGGGAGGAGTTAGCGTTATAATATTAGGAATGTGCAATAATTTTACAAACGGTCAATAATCCCAGGAACACGGAATAATCTTAGGAACGTATAATAATCACAGGAATTGAACTTAATTAAAGCAAACAGCAGCGACAAACTAAGAAATACAGAACGTATGGAAATCTGAACAGCAGCTCGATCCTGAAATGCTTCAGGAAGTTTCCTAAAGATTTTCAGGAGTAGCACTCGAACCTAAAATTAAGGTTCATTGAGCATAGACGTCCGTATAAGGCAAACGAAAGCAATAATACACATTTGAATATGTAAAGTATGAGCCAAAGTGCTAAGGCACCATAAAAATACGACAGCGCACCCACACAAGAAAATTGCACCACTGACCACTTCACTCCTGCACGGCACGAAAAAACAATGCTAATTCAGTATAAAATCGGCAAAGTATCTTCAGAAGTTGTCAAAATACAAAACCATATTCAACAGCTCTCACTTTGATAACACAATTGAAAAGACTATCAAGAACCATTAACCTCAACCTACAACAACAAGAAACTTTAAGCCGTTACTCCCGCAATCCGACTTTGGATTAAGCTACACCTTAATGCCCTCGATCCAATCGGGTTTTTCCCCATGCATAAAGAAAAATCAATTACAATGGTAATAATCAAATAAAGTATCGTGGATTCAAGGACACGAGTGAGGTAAGTTTCGTACTGAACTGAAAGGTGTTACATTTATCATCTTAGATCGTGAACGTAGTGGGAACTTCTCGAAGATGCTGGCAGAGCGAGAGTTGCTTCAAGTTTATTACGAGACCGGTTGAGTAAAGTGATAAACATGGTGATAGCAAGCTTGAGAATGGTGTCGAGTTTAGTCGTGTTAATTATATAAAAATAATTTGATGACAAATATTTTCCCTCGAAACAATTCCATTTCATCTGACGAAATTTTGTGTTTTTTTTAAGATATAAGCGTTGTGACTTCCCTCGGTAACTGTGGTAAATTGTCCACAACTATCTGATGGACTCGACAGTCCCGTTTAAGCTCAGTCATTAACTGCTCGTTAGAACCTAGACAGTTGGTAAATTTTATCATACATGCAAAAAAAATAAGAATTTTCTATTTTTGTTGTTAGAAATACAGCGATAATATCAATAGCGGTCAGATGAAAAATTTAGAAGCTGTGACCAGCTGGCACTGGAGTCAACAGATCTGTCCGTAATCTAAATTAGGCCAGACTACAGACGGAGACAATACTAAACACTGCGATTATCTTTAGCCAGACCAAGCACTAAGATATTAGGGAAGGCATGAACGCTACGTCTCATCAGACGAACTAGCAAAGCGGGTCACCTAAATTAAGCTGCAAAAAATTTGCGTATTGCTAAAAGTTTCTGAGGAGAACAAGAAAAGTTCAACGCCAAAGGTTAAATGCAGAAGGCTGGATTGTATCTACACATAACATAACAACCAGAGACTCTAAATATAACTGAGCTTAAATTCGGACTAAAGCTGTTAACACAATCTCTGCAAAACTCGTGCAATTGCCGCGGCGACGATCGAAGGAACGAGTCTTGTATGTTGCAGGAATAATACCGTAAGCCTCAAATTGCGGTAAATAACACAAAAAGAGTAAAGGAACGGCCAACAAGGTCTGTAAAATTAGAATGTGCCGTCATGAGCAACAAACTGTCGAAAACTGCCCAAATATCAAAATCCCGGTCTATAAATTCATAGAAACACACATAAAAAATGTTCTCATATACGAGCAGTATAATGTCTTAATTACTTATATAGTATATCTTCAACACGATCACTAAGGCAATGAACCCCAAACACTAACAACAAGAATCTCTATACGACAACTATTGACGAACGACAAGAAGTCCTGAAGTTAAAATTTATAGTCTAACGCACTATTCGAGAAAACTCAGTGGTATTTCTATGTAATTTCTAAGCCTAGACTCTCGTATATGACTAGAAAATGTCATGAAAATGTAATGATGTTATTTGAAAAAAAAAGAGATTCATAAATAAGCGTCTCAATAATTGAAATACCGACTATCAACTTCCTATAATGAAGCAAACAAGGTTTACAGAGCGAGAGCAACATGATGAGGTTGGCGCTGCAGAGCTCCGAGCGTCATCTTGCAATTGATCAATTTCATAGTTAGAACTATCGCTACCATTAAGATTATGACTAGATTTCATGAAAATTTTACTTCACGCATCCAAAAACGCGCACGCAGAATAAACAAGAAACATGTTTTTTATAATATAATTTTTTATAAAATCAGTAACATAGATGAATTTGAATCAAGGTGTCAATGTACAAATAAACAATTGAGAGATAAAAACGAGGGCAGATTAGAATAGTTAGGTGGGACCATATACAGACAAATACTGTTACTTAGATTTAACATATTTTCTAAATGGCAAAAAAATTTCGAAACTTTACATTATTTAAAAAAAACTAGAACGAAACTCCAAGAATCTAAACTTGACTGAAAGGCACATTAATAGAATGTATTGCATAGGTTTCGTGAATGGGGCTCGTAAGAATCAGAAGAAATGCTTCAGAAGCTTCTGCACCAGCAGAGGAGGACGTTATGGACGATTTTGTTCAACGACTATAGCCCAAGCCTTCTGCAGGTCAGAAATGGCAACGTACGCACTGTGAACACCACAGCATCAATGACGACAAGATCCGTATTAAATACTCGATGACTGCGATATCGCCTTTTTATTTTGGAGCTAGCAAAATATTGCACACACATCTCTGCAAACATTGACCTCGGAAACCATGTGATTGACCGTCGACCCAAATCCTTGTGTAACGGTAGGTCCTGAAACTTCTGTCGTCGAGCTTATTCGATTGGTGGATTTGTCCAAGGGTCTTCAGATCAAAATCAGCCCTGACCAGTGGCAGATCTTTTCCTATTTCCCTGATTTCCTATCCTAAGAATATAAAATTCTGCGTAAGGAGTGAGCAGCTGAACTCTGCACATGAGTGGGTACCCCGAGCACTTCATATAAACCAAAGCAAATTTCAGGATTACCTTTAACTTTCCATTCCTCTACTTGCACAACTTTTGTCAGTAAAAATGTTCAGAGAGACACGAATATCCATTTAACAGCTTGGATTCACAGAGTGACAAAATTTTTTAGTAACGGATTTCGAAGTCCAGGTGATAGTACCAGATGCCTCCAGATGCAACAAATAGGAGAAAGAGCAAAGCAAATGATTTGCTAAGGTGGCATGAAGTCACAATTTTTGGCTAGTGAGCTGGTGATTGAATGAGCAGACTGGTAGGGCGACTGGAGGCTGGCGACGCAGCTCTGCTGTGCGAGCGACGGCGTCGACGCCACGCGGTCATGGCGATGCAGGGGAGGAGTTGAGTCTGCCTTCGGACTACCCGTGTTGTTCACGGTGAGCCAGGAGCCCGTGACACTGCGGTACACGGGGGACGGAGGGGTCGTCGAGTCGCTGATGCTCATTTGTTGGGTCATGTCTCGCCTGAGGTTGTCAGGTGGAGATGACGGTGATGCGAGGAACGAAGGAGGGACCGTGAAATGAGGGGTCGAGTAATCAGCACTACTGCACGCAGACACGAGGCTGTTGCGCACCTCTGCTTTGATGTCGATGAATGACGGGGGATGAGGCAGACCAGCGGCTGCACTGTTACCGTTGTCCTGTGATGGCGTGGACGTAATTTTTCCTGGAGCTACGGTGACTTTATCATCAACTATTTTATCCACGGCCTGATTCATTCGCCCGTGAGGAGGAGGTGATGAAGTGGTTGAATCAGTGGCGCTGTGTCGACCAGACTGAGGAGTAGAGGATTCTGAAGCGCTAACTACGGACGACTTTTTCTTGCCTGTACATCGCGTCAAGAGAGACGAGTACTTCAAGGGAGGCAACATAGAGGAATCAATGTTGCTGGCATCATAGTGCTGAGGTTTGGTGGTTGTGCCGCAGTTGAGATCTACAAGACCAAGCTGCTGGAGGTTGGTGATGGACTCGGCGATGACGGCGGCGGTGCTGCGCTGGTACCCGCCGCTGGTGAGCATGACGAGCGGCAGAGCGCGCTGCTGCCTCACCATCTGCCACACAATCTCGTCTCGTAGGATCACGCCCTGAATAACCCAAGCAAAATAAGACATTTTATACTGTAATCAATGATTATAAACAATTCTACCTCTTATAAAGTACATTTTATAAAATTATTTCACATAAAATTTCTAAAATTCTTAAATGTAATCAGAAAAACTAATAAGCCTAAAACTAACTCTGAATCATTTATTTCCATCCTATAAATCACCACACAATGTATCCCAATGCAGCGAGAGTAGAAGCGATGTAAAATTATGTGAGCATCTCTTGTGAATATTGAGGATTTTACAGAAATATTATTAATCGACACAACACTGATAGAGGTACAAAACATATAATACTGCAAAGGCTAGAACTTATAGTGTATTGAAGTAAGCTTCGCATGCAACATCATAATTGTTCATCAAACAAAGCGTGAGCGCCTGCCTTCCTGGTGACGCTGAGCAGGCCCAACGGGTCGCCCTCGAGGATGTCGGTGCCGGCGTTATAGATGACCAGATCCGCGGGGAACTCCTCCAAGCTTTGTTCCAAGCCTCTGACAACACAAAGATACAAACAAGTAAGAGAAATATTTTCAACAAATTAATTTGTTGCAAAATAAATGCAGAATTTGTTTTCGTCTACACTGGCACCTTCTCAGAGCAGCACATGTGTCGCGACACGCTCTCTTGTATAAAGTTTGTAGACAATAACTCGTCTCATGGAGAACGAATTCTGGTGCTGTAAAATTGTGTTCAATATTCCGACTCACTACCTTTATTTCACAGAGCCTCGCCAAGACGCTCTAGGACGAAGCAGACGCAGGACTGCGATGCAGAGCTGAACTTGGCAGCGAAGCGTGCTCGAGGGCTTATACAAACTCAGACAAATTAGTGGCTCATATTGTCCAAATAGTGATTCACTTTCTCACCGCAAGAATGAGCAGAGATTATAAGTAGCATTAAAACGTAATGTTGACGGCCAAACCGGGTCAGGATGACCCACAAGGGCAAAAAGTGTACCAGAATTTGGACGAAGTCTTACTCATGCTGTGAGTGCAAGATTACTGAACTGTTGTAGAGGCGAGTTGTCATTTTTTGCCCTCACCTCGCATTTAAATTCTGAGCTGAGACGTCATGATTTGTGTTAGGGACGAATTTTGTCTAAAACTGTTCTCGCCAGGTTCTTGCTTTAACAAAACATACTTCGAAACTTATAGTTTAGCGGGCAACATTTCCTTACTAACGTCGCGATGTTCGCACAGCAACTAACTTCAAAGAACGTGACCAGTTCCCTGCGTGGACGTGCTAGAATCCAGTCGTTTTAGACTATAGTGACATAATTGAATATCACCACTAGTTTAGTTTAGTGGCCAAATGTTTACTAGCGGATCAGCTATTTGGCTATTTCGCACCGAAAGTCAAGTTGAACATCACCAAAGAGGTGGATGGTCTGATTTATTGAAAGTTTCTCAAATCAAAAATTTTTTATCACTCATAAGGGGCGGAAGATCTCAATTGTCCAGCCTGCTGAAGCTGGCTCGAAAGAAGCAGCGTTAGCATCTCAAAAAGACGAAGTACCGTAACAAGGAGGGCCAGGTGAAAAGCAACAGAAACAATAGTTAAGTTCTGAGAATGAGAACTGAACACTTATCTCAAAATTATGCAGAAATTAACTTTTTTGGTTATTTTCAATTGCATTGAGGCAATTCTAGAGATGGCGTACTTGGAAAATTCTTTAAACGAGCTTCATCATGCAGGCAAAAAAAAAAACAGAAATACAATTTCAAGCATGATATCTTCTTTATCAATATTTTCAACAAGTATTTTCATAGGAACGTGATATATTGGGTTGTTTTCTTAACATCGGCAGCCATGACAGCCTTCAAACAAGTCCTAAAAACTTGCAGAGGCGACGGTAGAGCCTCATGCAGCGGCACAGCAGAGCAATCACGTCAGTTACGCTCTACAGACGAGACTCTAAATAGACACATGAACATTACACTTATCACGTTAAATGTACATCTAAAACTGAATTACGAACACGTAATTAAATGGCGAAACTGAAATTAAATCATCACCACGAGCACCAAATCTTCAATAAGGGAAAGCGGATATTGCAAGTGGATGCAATGAGGAAATGAAACATTCAGATTGAAGTTTAATGTTAATAATGAATTACTTTTAGATCCGCTGCTCGTTGAAACTATTGTTAGAAAGCGTACGGAGTTTCCCAGTGAAGAGCTACACCGTAAACCAATTCATCCCGGCATGATTATTCTTAAGTTCAAAAGACCGAGGCCAGAGGTTCAGACGTGTGGCTAAGAAGTCTAAATTTTAAAGCACAGACGTAATCATTTATGAAGAGTTAGGTGGCATGTATATTATCCTGAATTATCCATTCAGCAGCAGTAAGTCACTGTAATCATAGACCACACAATAGCGAACTCACTCTTCTACGGCTTGCAGATATCGAGGATCTTCGGTAAAAGGGCTCAACTCGATGCGCTTGCTGATGGCTTTCTTGGCCTGCTCATCTCGAGGATAAACAAGTCTGTTGTACACGTCCATGATGAAGACGTCCTTCCGGCCCATGAAGTCCCGTTCGTGACCATTGCCCTGAAATTGGCTGAATGTTGCAAAATTTGGAAAATTTAATCTGGAAAAAAATAAACATTTCAGTAAAGATCAAATTGCAACTGTGCACAGATCAACCATTACCAAATAATACCGAGAGGAAGTAACTACAATGTATTGGCAATACGCATAGCTAAAACAAATGATGAGCAATTTTAACATGGAAAGAAATCTCCTCAAAGAGGACAAGGATTAATGTTTGTTAGCAATTAAGTAATCAGCCAGAATTATCTGCTCTCAATTAATTCATTAGGAAGACATACAGTTTTATTAGTAACCGAACTAAAAAAATTTAAAACCTGATGAAGCCCAGTTCCAGACACTTCACATCAAACCCGCAGTCTGCTAACCGCATAAAGCTCTTGATGAGACGCAACAGATGGCTGGAGGAAATTATTCTAGTCAGGTTACACTCCCGAGACAAACAAAATAAGCTTAAACAACCAGTTGAATAACGTAAGGAGTACAAGACAAGCTGAAGTGGTTTAGTTAATATTTATCTTCAAGAATATTGGACAGAGAGAAGGTAGATAGACGGGACAGCCGGAAGGTTGAAGTAAAAGTTTGAGGTGTAGTTCATTGGTACAAGAGCTTTACCATGTTCTCTAAGAGTCTGGAAAATGAACATAACACATAAAACGTAGAAAATATTTACAAATTAAAATGATCACAATAAGCATGCAATGTAGTAACTGTAGTTCAGCTTCGACAATTACTTCCGAACTTCAGCAGAGTGCATTTGCTTCCCACGAATACTTTGGAATGTAAGCAACGTTTGATTCCGACCGTCAAGTAATTTGGTCGCCACAGGAGACGAGAAAGAAAGGTGGGAGTAGCCACAGAGGAAGGCTAGACGTATAGCCTCAGAGGAAGGCTAGACATATAGCCTCAGAGGAAGGCTAGACATATAGCCTCAGAGGAAGGCTAGACGTATAGCCTCAGAGGAAGGCTAGACGTATAGCCTCAGGGGAAGGCTAGACGTATAGCCTCAGAAGAAGGCTAGACGTATAGCCTCAGAGGAAGGCTAGACGTATAGCTTACAGTTCCTTCTCAGCGCCTTACCACTCCTCCCCCAGACTACCTAGTTTCTTCTGCCCTTACACTGAGATGTCCACATTTGGTCAGCGATTAGCACTTTCATACGGCCAGCATCATGCCTCCGGTATCATGCCTTCATCATGCCCGCAGTAAAGACAGAGAACTTTACACCGGAATATTTCACACGTGTCGCCAAGACCGCCGAAATCAACAACGTCCAAGCTGTCCCATCACGTCTGATAGCTTCCACGGAAACCTCGCTCCATCGCTGCCGCGTCTCTGTGCTGGCACAGCTCCTCTCGGCCCACATCAGTTCCATGAAATATTACGTTCTATTGAGGGAGGACATCATACGCAGCCGGCCCTGCGAAAGCATATCTCTTCCAGTTCACGGAGTATATTATATTACTCTTGATCGTTCTGTATGGTTTTGTCCTCTCGTTCAGACACGCTCTGCTTTGTTCTTGCTTTCTTAAGTGTTGGGAGCTGGACGGGATCACTACCCAGGCTGTTGATGGTAAATGACGTCAACTCGCTTCGGTGCGTGGCGATTTGTCTTGTGTTCCTTGGGTTGGCAGTTCGGCTTCATCGCATGTCTGACACTCCGCATGTGCTTGCAGTGTGGAGTGGTAGACACCATAGAGCTCTCTCTTCTGGCATGCACGCAGTTAAGCCTGAAGCTTAAGGACGTACTGACCTCTAGTACTCAGGCCCTGGATGTTTCGCATTTGTCTGTACATACCTATATTTCTTGGAGGAAGCCACTGCCGCAGAAATGTTCAATATGTAATACGAGCAAAAATCACTCCTCTAACACAGACAAATCGCTTGGCAGCAGGGGCTGTAGTGTATGAACACCATCCAAGATTGGACTCGCCATTTGAAACGGAAAGCTCACCTTATTCAAATCTTGAATAATCATATGAATGCAGGGATGGAACCTTCTATCAAATGTGGCTGTTGGGAGTCCCTTCTATTTTCCTCCCCTTTCAAATGTTCTTCAAGATAATTATTAATTAAACCTGTTCAGCTTGTCTTTTCCTCCTTGCATTATTCAACTGGTTGTTCAAACTAATTTGGTTTGTCTGGGGAGTGTAACCTCACAGGAATAATTTCCTCCAACCATCTGTTCTGTCTCAAGAGATTAGCAATTATATAAATGCATAATACAGGGTGCGGCGCGGGAACTTACTTATTTGAATTGCGCGCCACGTGGCGGCCATTAGTCCTAGGAAGGTGGCGCCATGCGCAATATGGTGCGCGGGCTATGAAGTTTTTCAAGCTCTTTGTAAAAAAGAAAGAATTAAAACGCTATCTTTAATACTTTTTACTTTGTGATTTTTTTAAAAGAGTAAGTTCCCACGCCGCACCCTGTATATGTGATTAGCAGACAGTAGGTTTGATGTTAACGTACCTGCAACAAATAAGCAGTGCAGGACTAAACAGTTGCTTTTAAATCATACAATAACTAAATGGTCAACTTTTTGTACATATTTGAGTGTCTCATAAGACAAATTCTCTAGTAATAACTAACCTGATGAGCATCCAGGTCTACAATTAGAATGTTGTTGATGTGCTCATACTGTTCTAAAACCACATGAACTAGAAGAGTGATATCAGCATAGGCACAAAAGCCTCCTCCTCTGCCAGCAGAACAATGGTGGAAGCCACCTCCAACATTGATGCTCCAGCCTCTCTCAACAGCACACCGTCCTGCTACAACACTCCCTCCAGTCTGGTATCTATGAAATTAAAAAAAATGTGATTTCATCAAAAAACTAGAATATTCCAACATCAACCAACCAATTCCACGGCACTAAATTGGTATAGGAACTAAATTCTCCACGGCACTAAATTGGTATAGGAACTAAATTCTTAACTCAGATTTCTTTGTAAACTCTTACCATTAAAAATATCAAGGCTAACTGTGGAAGTAAAATCACACTCTTAAGGTTGCCTGCCAAAGGTCAACACTGCCCAATTTCTGGTGAAGCCACACATGCATTCCTATAATAACCACACTTCCAACAACTTTGGTTCAACAAATTTGCAGCTGCAAGTCTCAAAAGACAGACCACACTGACTATATATAGAATTGCTTAGAATTTTGTGCCAACACATGAAATAATTCTATACCAATCAGACATAATGCATAATTACATTCCAGCATTCGTTCTCCCCACCACCAAACTGCCAGTTTTCATTATCTGCATCAAATCAGCCTGTGATCAAACCATCAATGATCAAAAATGACAGTTGATCTTGTAATATCCAAGTGAGATTTTGTAGAAAGCCAATTGCTGATGACTAGTTCAATCCATGACTGATTGGTGGTATTGCAGAAAGGCATTACATTCAGGGCTGATTGATGTTTAAACTAAATGATCCACAGCTGCAATCCTACACTTACATATTTTTCACATACTCTGGATTGAGAATCACTGTTCTATATAATATTCTATATCAAGAATGAAAAAGACAGTTTTTAAATGAAAAAACATACAAACATAATTGAGCTCACAAATTTTCCAAAAATCTATCAAAACCTCCCATGACCTATCAAAGGATGAATAATTGTTGGCACTAATTTAGCCACGATGGACCTATCAAGTGCTTGTTTAATAAAACATTTACGCCACACATGCAGAAGCAATCCTTTTTATGCCAAAGGCCAAAGCTTCCACTATTCTATTCTATTTTTTCTCAAAATTACTATTGCAGAAATTTTTTACACATTTCTATGTCTGCCTGCCAGACAGTGAAGGAAATGTGAACCCACCGGAAAGGCTTCAGAAGTTTTCTCTGCAGTACACAGTTAGGCAGCAAGGCCGTCCCTGCAACTTCAGTAATCTTTGCCACATTGACACTCCACTGTGGCACAAGAATAGACAAATCAGGCTATACCATGAACATCAAATACATAGCATAAATAATGAATCAATTATTTATGGACTAAATGAAGAACTTTTGACTTGGATGACATGATATAAAAATTGCCCAACCATAGAAAAGATTTGTGTAACTTTTCTATTATAATTTTCTATTTGTTTCAAAATATACAGTACCGTAGTTCTGGTTTACTTCCATCAACAAGTACTCTAAAAACAGAAAACAAAAAATAAGAAAATAGGCAGGCATTTGTCCTCTACTTTAAACATTTGAATGTGGGAGGTAATAATCTTAGCTTGTTTGTGATGTGTTGAAATACCTATGTTAACAATAATGTCAGAGGTTTCTTTGTTGAAATAGTGAAAATCATATGATTTAATTGAGGGAGGAGAAGGGCAAAAAGATAGAAAATTGACATTAGGGCTTCTATAGAGTGTCCAGGAATGTTTTATAGTTAGTGCAGGAACTTTTTCTTTGGTAGTTGATATTGACATTGTTAGGCGTGTTACTTGTTCTGAAATGTTTTATTATGAAATTTGCAATGAGCAAACTTTAGCCATGGTATTAATAAAAGTGAAATTTTGAAAATTGTTAGAAAATAATTAAATACAAGTACCCAGTATAAAATTAGTATCAAGCTAACAGAAATTGAAACTTAAGAAAAGCGTGCTCAAAGTTTAGGACACTTACTGCCTTTACTTGTGTTCATTTTAAAACCACACATAAATCTGATTATTAGTAACCACAAACTAATCAATAAAGTGGTGTACATACCACTCAACAGATTAAAAACAAACTAATGTTGAAGTAAAGAAATATTCCCAATATTCATATAGAGATGATTTAAATTGATTACCGGTACCGTAGTACCCTAGTAATAGTCTACTGCAACAAATTTTCTATGATTCAAACCCACCTCAAGACTAGTGAGATATCGCTGCTTGTGCACCAGTAACAAGTCAGTCTTTGTAGCCTCTCGAGGCTTCACCAAGATTTCTTCACTCAAAAGACCTTGATCCTTCAGAAGCTGCAAATCAGATCAAACAACAAATCATTTAGTTAGTAATACCTGGAAGATGGGAAGTAAAATGTATGAAGACCAGCGGAGACTGGGAAAGGTTAGTGTAGACCAGTGGAGGTAGGTAAGTGAATCCACATGAGCTTGAATTCTATTCATCCCTTTGGTCTTTTTTAAATCACATCCAATACTTGAAATAATTTTGCATTTAAAAAATAGATTCAAGACAACATTTACTTTTGGCTTCTTGTTTCATAATTTTCCTACACTAAAAGTTACAGAAATTGTCAAAATATCCAGTATCAACTATCACAAATGATCGTAAATAAATAAGGGAGAGGAAGAAAACTTGAATAAAGGAAGGAAGAGATAAGGAGTAAAACTCTAATTCTGCATTTACCCTCAGACCCTCAGTGTCAAAGATATTTCTAACATAATACTGGACAACAAATAACCCAAACATGGACTTCCAATCCATATGACTAACAAAGTCTTAAGTCATACATATACAACTAACAGTTGGCTATTCATCAGCCACCAAAAAATCACCCACTGTATTTACTCTCACAGCAACAGAAATCTAGTTCAAGTAATCATGAGACCAGAATTAAATGAAACAATAAGTTTACTTAATTTTGTATTAGGTTCAAAGCATTATTTACCATTGAATTTTACTATGTTTCCAAATTTGAGTTCAATACTTGACTGTGGCACAGTCTCTTGTTTCATGTGTGCCAATCAGAACACAGGAAACAAGAGACTGCACAAATAGTAAACACACACAGCACAGAAAAATACTTCATTTTTTTCTTCTTTTGTTTGCAAATTCCATGACTTTCCATAACCTGAAATGAAATCTAATGACTTTCCATGCCTGGAAAATGAAAAATAAAATTCCATGACTTTCCAGGTTTTCCATAACCAGTACAAACCCTGTTGGAACCAAACCCCATAAGCCACAATTTAGCCACCAGCAAGTTGGATGCAAACATCCAAGAATGTGGCCAATTTTACCATTCCCAATGGCTTTTTTATAAGTATTTTTTCAATAAAAAATATGAAAAATGGCTTATTTACCTATGTCAGTAATTTTCAAAAATCATCAGTGAAACCACTATTTTTACACACAATTTTTGAAAATTTCTGCCCAATGTTCCAAATTGAGGCTGTAAGAACTTCCAAGCTGCAGTGCACAGCTAGCTGCCTAGGTACAGTAGCAGGTCTGTTAGAAATTCTAATTTATTTACAGAAGAACCTACAGATGTGTTGATTGCGTTGAATTTGTTTACCTTTTATAATACAGTGGCGGAAATGGCTATACAACCACCCGGTTTTATCTGAATAATTTTTCTTGCATAAAAAATACCTACTGGATTCTAATTATATGAGGCTAAATTATGTTTGAAAACCGCTCCAATGCTATACAAAAAATTTTTTTTTTAAATACGTATGGTATGAGAAGAAATTATGAAATTTAGAAAAACCTAGGTGGAAATGGTTATAAGATCATGATGGGTGTATCTTCATTTTAGAACCTTTCTGTAATATTTTCACATTAAAAAGTATAGCAACATAAAGAATATCTTGATTTTTGCCATTTAGGGTACGGTATTCCAATACAGCTCACACAGCGAACGGAATTCAAACACGTGGATGACGGCATTACGTTTCAGTAGAATTTGAAGCGCGGACGTAATACGCCTCACCACGTGCCAAATTTTGCCACACACAGTGTCGGAATATAGGGATTTTGTAGGTTTGCATTCTAAAGGCTTTTAAATAAATATGGCAACATTTTGTGACGTTTCATTGTTGCTGGCGCGTAGTACGGTGTTTTGCGAGTCACATAAAGCAAACAGAATTCGAGTAACGCATATGGTTATTTTTTTATAGTTTTTCATTTCTCAATACGTCCTTAATGTGTCGGAATATACCGCGTTTACCCTATGTATTGTATGGCTTATAAAACTGAATATTGTTCTCTCAGGTTTTCTGACACGACCACTAGCTGAACATGATCGATGTCCAAACAAACGTGCAAAAACAAAGTTAAATGTTCGCATGTTTGTCATGAGGTTAATTTTAAAATCATAATTCTTAGCATGGATTTTTAATGTTCTGATTTACGCTTTCTTGAAATTCGTAACTCTACTCAAATGAATCATATATTATCATTTGAACCTATTTAAAGATTTCGCTATTGAAGAATGAACGGTTTGATGTAGCTGCTCGCGTGTCCGCAACCGCAATCCGCGTTTATGAGAGACACCGCCCGCCAAGAAGGCAACAGATTCTGGCAAGTGCTGCGTAACTTTATCTGTGAAAGAAGGTATGACGAATTCAGCACAGCCTTACATGTAATCAATTATTTCTGGTGATGTGCTTTTTAAGGGCTTTTGGCCATTACTTTTGAAATTGTAGCTCTATGGGCATGGTCAAATTTATCCGTGCCCACGGGTGAAATTATCCATGGACATTGGCCACGGGGTGAAATTATCCATGGCCACGGGTGAAATTGTTCCACGTGCACATGTGACTTTTGCTCTTCTACGGGTGGCTCCTGCCCATTATTCCAGTCTGGGTAGGGCGCATGGCATAGTGGGAAAGCAGAGAGTTTTTTTAGACTCTCTCTCAAGTTCATTTTTGAGTCCTATAAGTAGACCAGTAAAGTATCCTGGATACCAGCAATCCAGCATTATCATACTTAAGAAATTGGTTTAAATCTTGAGTAAATGATTAATGAGGAAATGAAAAATGAACTGATTCTAAAAAAGCTCAGGTTTGCCACTATGGCGCATGGCAAATTTTTTTTACCAGCATAGTATGGCGCAGTGCCCAGGTTTGTTAAAAGTCAATTTAGATTCCCACACACCTGGCAGTCTGGCACATCTTCCTGATCATGGCCTATTCTACCTAAGTGGAAAAAACGCGACTTCAGATGGATTAGTTCGCCTGTTAATGAATTCCGTAGAGGGCTTAGGCTGCGAAAAATTGGCACTAATTTCGCAAGATGCACAAAATTGATAATGAATTCAAGACAAATTCTGCAGCGCAATCAGCAAAGCAAAATCCACGTGAAGTTCGAAGCCAAGAAGAAAATACGGAAGCCAGACGCACGATCGAACAGAAGCTACTGGACCAGGAGCAACGTTCATGTTCGTCGACCCACTCAACCGTCGTATTGCTCGAGAAGCAAATATGACGTGAACGCAAGCGTGAACGCGATGTACGAAGTGTAACTGTTATATAGAAAAATGTCGGCACTGAAGAAATAGGCCCATGGCCTGTTGAGGATTCTTGTACTTTTTGTAACTTGATTCACAAGGGATCACAAGTCAATGCGGTCATTGCTGCTCTTAGCACAACTAGCACTGTCTCTTATACACATCTAGATGTGTATAAGAGACAGGTTTCCTTCTCATCCCCATCACACATAAAACATTTATCTTCTCTCCTTTCATTCCACCTGTATGTACGTCCATTCACACCTAGCGCGCCTGCCCTAACACAAAACAGAAGGTCCCCACCACCTCTACTACCATAATACATACATTCATATTTTGGCATCGCTTTCATCTGATACAGTCTTAGAGAGTCCTTTCCCTCCATTCCTTGCTTCCATACCTTCAGCCCATATTCTTTCACTCGCTCATTTATTTCTCTTTTCCACTCTTTTTCATCCCACTCTATAGCTAGCAATCGCACCCCGTACTGTCACCACCCATTCGTCCTTTAGCCCAGCGGGCCTTTGGCTCACCCATGCTTCATGCATGCCACACTTACGCACCACTGCCCGACATCTGCGTGCCCATTTGCTCACCTTCATGTTCCACATATACATCTTTCGAGCCCAACGTTCATCATCCATTCGCTCCTGTCTCACTTTATACCTCAAAACTGCTCTCATTCTTCTTTCCTTGAAGGTACTCCAACCCATGTCTCCTATCAGGGCCTTTACTGCAGTCCACCTGGGGACACCTAGTGCCAATCTCGCCACTCTATTTTGTACCAATTACAATTTATCTAACTCGCCATCACTATATGCTATCACATCCAATCCATACATAATGCTAGGCACTGCTACACTTTTCCACACTTCTCTCAATACGTCATACTTACTCGCTCTCACTTTTGCTGCACTTCCAAGTATACCCAACCATTGGTTCGTCTTACTTAGATTCGCGGCCTTTGTTCTCTGAAATTTGGTACAGTAACTCTTGTTATCATCGTAATGTTCGCTGTGGTTTTCGTTTCTACGATGTTGGATGTGGTTTTGTTTCTACGATATTTGATGTTGCTTTAGTAGCTGCGATGTTTTTGGCGTTCTTTTCTTGTCTACGATGCTTGATGTGGTTTTCGAATCAACAATGTTTGCTTTTGTTTTCGTGTCTACGGTGTTTGCTCTGGTTTTCGAATCTCCAATGTTTAATTTTGTTTCCGTGTCTACGATGTTTGATGTGGTTTTCGAATCTACAATGTTTGATCTTGTATTCGTGTCAACGATGTTTAATGTGGTTTTTTTAATCTACAATGTTTTATTTTATTTTTGTGTCTACGATGCTTGATATGGTTTTCGTGTCTACGATGTTTTTTTTTCGTTTCTTTCGGTTATGGTTTCCAAACTCAATCCCAAATTAATTTAATTAACATTAATCTCAAACTATAATTATATAACTACATTTTTGAGCATGCGGATAGGCCCTTCGTTATTGAACGAAGTTGGCAGTTCCTTTGAAAGTTCCGGCAATTGGATAAGAGAATATCCATGCATTTTAATGAGAAAAAAATTTCAGTAAATAAATCTAGTCATGCATCTGAATGAAAATTAGCCATTTATAAACTAATAAAATCAAAGCATGCACGTTTAAAACAAAATATAATTTTGTATAATATAGTTTAGTTAATTTATTATAAATTTTTCGATTTACTTTGTTTTTCTCTAAATTAAAGTATACAGCATTGCATTTCTCTTCCAAAGGATTTTGGCATCGGTGCTGTGGTCTGCGCGGGTGTCTCACGCACTCTTGGTATACCAAGGAAGTCCGTAATGGACAAGTAATACATTAAAAAAATGCCGGATGGAATAGCAAAGCTTTGACGAGTCTCTAGCAGCTCTATCAATGATAGTCGTGTTTATAGTGGCACTGGGCTGCTTTGCATTCACGTACTACCTCACTCTCGTGGCGGTCACTTACCACACAAAGTAGGAGCCTGCACTAGTACGTGCTAAGATGGATAGTTGATCTAATGTTGTTGTCGTCGTTGGTGACTTCATGGACAGCAGGTTGTCAATGTGCTGTTTAGTATGGGCAGTATAAGGCAGCGGCAGCCGTATAGTGTGCACGTCAATGTCGCTCTGTTCCCTGCTTGGGGCAAGTGTTCCTGGTGTTATGACTTATGAGCTATACCTTGTCCCAATGACGGCGGTTCTTAGAACTCGAAGAAGTGTTCTGATGATCAGAGTATCACATGTATTATATGTTGATATGCTGTCGAATATATTTATCGCTCTCAGGTACTCTACGAAGCGGTCGACGTTATAAGCTCCACGCTCTGGTGGGGCCAAGATGCTTTTGAGGTGTTCGTCGGGGTAAACTCGGGGTAGGTGATGAAAAAATTAGTCGGGTGGTGGATTTGGTACGACATCTTCATCACACCACTATATTACTTCATACAAACTGTTCTTATAGATAATCCAGATGTACGATCTACTGAGAAATGAATTTACGTCATGATGAATATTCCCACAAAAACTAATTGAGAAAGAATTGTTTTGAAACTCAAACTAGATCTTATTAGGTCTCTTACCCACATTCTACGCTGATCCACTAAGTTTTTCCCCTCCTATGCAAGAGTGGCAACTAAGCCACCAACTGCTTCATCAAACGCATCCTTAAGGCTTGTAGTCAAAATGCAGCGAAGTCTGAGAGCGAGGTTTTCGCGACCATCGTGTAAAATCCTTGATCTGCCCAAAGCTCGGCTAGTCGCTACCCTCGAGCTTGTACTCTTTGTAATATGATATCCTAGCGGACCTAGCCAGACCCTTCTTCGCGGGAACTGGTCGCTTTCAGGTGGCCGAGGAATGGCCAACGGTTGGCTATAACTAATTGGATAGGCCGACCACTGGCCACGTATTATTCTTCGCCCCTCATTGACTTCGCCTTTACCATGCCACCTGTTGTGAAGTGACAGTTGGAGTAATTTACGACGTCTCTTTCCCCTCAATCATTGCACAACGTCTCCATTTGAGCAGCTAGTATGCGGGATTTTCCCTCCGCGTATCAGCAGACTCGATCATAAATATTTTCTGGTGGAAAATATCTATAACAAGGAAGCTGATCAAGGAATGCTGAATATACCATTCAATTGACAATAAAAATTACAACCTGTTTATATCTCGAAAAAAGTGTAAAATTCGCAGACTTGACGAACAATAATATTTAAAGTTTCTTGAAATTTCCTCTCATTAAAACTCTTTTAATACAAAGTTTACATATTTTTTGTTACTGGTCGACGCTTATAAATAAATAGCTGGGTAAGTATGGAAAAATCCATATCGCCATCTCATTTGCGAGTGGAGTAAAGTCTATCCTAATTAGTGAAGAAACGCTTAGGGAAGAGCCGAGCCTGTTCGAAGCCTCTCGGCTTTCAATCAGGGCCTTAAACTCGTCAACACCGTTACGGTCGGGAGCTAGCCCCACGGTCGGGAGCTAGCCCCCACACACAGAGCTCGCTCAACGGCTTCCAATGACGCACTGGCACTTGCTGACTGTTTACCAAATACTTGCCTCGTGTATAGACTTCTAGCCGGAAAACTGGGAGTGAGAAAGCTCGCAGCGAATAATCGCAGCTAATACTTGACCCGTTTGTAAGCGCCTTATGCTTCTTCTCTGGCATGATAGCCCGGGCATTTAGTTGACGTGCAGGTTTTAAAATAGTTTAAAGTTTAACTGTAAAATATTGATGTTGAGATGGTAATCAATGGGTTGTTTAATTTGGAGTGAAGAGAGTAGCAAAGGTGAAGAATGAGACTGGGATTCCGGTGGTAGAGGCGGAAGGCATGGACGGCCATGACAGCGTTCGATGCGCCGGTTGGTGTGGTCACTTGAGATCCTGGGTCGCAGTGAGGGTGCATACGGTATGAATATCCGTGAATACGTCGGCGACAAGGGTTAGCTGACTATGTGAGGCACAATAAACAGCACTACTTGATGGTTTAATGTTTAATTATTGGGCGAGTCGTGTACCTCAGGTGAAACCACCGTTTGCTCCGTTAGCACAATCCGCACTTGTAGGGACATCCTGACGAAAATAATGTCGTGGCGAGGACAGGGAAACAACGATCGGGCATGATAATAAATCTTTGTACGATTTATTGAAAATCAAATAAACCAAATCGCTGGAGCCGTCCACGGAAGGGGCAAATCGAGCTGCGCCACCTCTTCTTCCACGACCTATCTCGTCAGGACACTCATCCTAGATAGAATAATTAAGAGTTGGTCAATACCGAGTAAGAAATGAGAAATAAATTGGTAATAAATTAACCCTTACAGTTATAGGTCTAATCAATTATGAATTCGAACGAATCAAATTTCAACGAGTTATCAAATTTCAATCAGTTATCAAATTTCAATCAGTTATAAATCAGTTATCAATTAAATCAGTTATCAATTAAATCAGTTATCAATTAAATCAAGGCAATAGGCAACTAATGAGGAATGTGATAGACTTAGTTACATTCAAATGAAGACAAAATTTAGCCGGATGAATGTCTAATTTTTGAGGAACTTAGCAAAGCCGACTTAAGACACTTCAAGAAGCAGTCACTGAACCACGGCACAGGGTAGGATAGCGACTTACGGCTTCAAAACAGAAGTGCAAGCTCCTCTGGGTCCAGGTGAGGAGTCGTCTAGTAGGTGGTAGAGCCTAGTGCAGTTCCATCATCGCCGTACGGAGCCACAAGACAATAATCCAACGCACGGATGAGCACAAAGGTTGGCAACAGGAACGACACAGGTGGGAGTAGCACGTATGGTGTCTGAAGATAATCTGTGTGTTGGCGGCCAGCGTTGCCCGACTTCGGTTTCGCTGGAGGGAAAGCCTCGAAAACCGATTAAGTAAAGTCGCGACCTCCCTGGCCGCTGAATGACTGCGTTAAAATTTAAAAATGAATTGGTATAGAAATTTAAATCTGAACATTCCTGATTAGTTGCCATAGAAGATCTATAAACTATAATTTAACCTTTTCGACACATCCAATGTTAAACTTGATTATAATTAGTTAAATCTTCAAATTTTCGAATAAAATCAATCCTTTCGTAAATATCCGAACTGCTTCTAAATGGACATTTTCTTTCTTCGTTAGTTCAGTTAACTGTAACCTCACTACAGCCAGGTCCTCCAACGTTTGAAGTGCGGGTTACGGATACCTACACTTGAATACATTTTCCAAACACTCGTCTCTCTCGATTCATTCTTGTCTAAATCCGTCTTTGCGTGTAACTTAGCTTATAGCGGTGCCGCACCAACTTGCCGCTTATGTTTTCAGCGCAGATAGGACACGTGGTAGGACTACTAGGGTTATATTCTATGTTTCCGCTAAGCGAAAGTAGGACTGGGTGACGGATTTCAAATTTCTCGCCAGCAAAATAAACGGTTGGTCCAAGCCTACAGAGTGGCATCTCATATGATGCAATATTCTGGGGGACATTCCTACCTATATACGGCTTCCCAAAAATGTTGAAGTGGGAGAAACTAGGCGGAAGAGACGGCGTAGACGTGGCCCCAATAGCAACCGACTCAGGAGGCAGGATTCGAACGTTCCATAAATAATATGTTAAACGAAACAAACGAAAATATTGATTAATAGACATCAGATGTTTAATTTTGCTCGCAAATGGTGAATTAATTCGGGCATTCCGTCAGAGACGTCCATTGTTGAAAGCAAAAATTCAAGCACAGTATTTTCTTCTACTATTAATTAGTTGTCCGCCACGAAATATAATGTAATGAATAAATACAAGGTACAATAATAACGAAAGTGCGGCAGATGCATAAACATGCTGGTGTTAGCTACCTTCAGCAAATAAGAAGATTAATCACGCCCTCATGACCTTATAGTACGCAGTCTTCAAGATCCATATGATCCCTAAAGAGGTTTACGATTTTGCCCTGTTACCATCACTGTGTTTTGCCCTGTTACCATCACCTCGTGCCGCGTCAACGCTTGCTCCTCGTTATGCAAAATTGGCAGGCATTGCAAGCACCAAGAAAAACCCAACTCTCTCCTGGACATCCGAAGAAATCGAAGCCTTCGAACGCTCCAAGAGCTTAATGGCTGAAGCAACGATGTTGTCGCCTCCAGCTCCTAGCACGGAAATGTGCATCGCCTGCGACGCATCCTGCTGCTGTAGCAGCAGCACTCCAACAAACAGTCAACGGAGTGACAAGGCCGCTATCGTTCTTCAGTCGTTCTCTCACCTCAGCTCAGAAAAATTACTCAGTTAACAGTTATTGGCAAAGAACTTCTTGCCATCTATCTTGCATTAAAACAATTCAAATACTGAATTCAAGGTGTCGACTTCTTCATAATCACTGATCACAAACCACTCATCGGTGCCGTCGAGAACCCTTCACAGAGGGATAACCCAAGAGAAGTTCGTCAACTGCAGTTCATCAGCTCCTTCACCTCTCGAATCAGTCATATCTAGGGCGACAGCAACGTAGTCGCCGATGCTCTTTCACGCAGTCCGCCCGAAGATCCTGTTTCTGAAACTGACGACCAGCTCTCCATTTCCGCACTCTTCGTACATGAAGAAGCTAACCTGGCGCTCGAACAAGAAAAGGATGAAGAATTCAAAGCTATACTGTCAGGCAAGACTCCAACATCTCTAACCCTGGTTCGTCGAAATGGCATACTATGCGAATTTGATCATACGTCCCCGCAGCCATACAGCAAAACAGCAAAACCGTACGTCCCCGCAAGCATGCGCCGCAAAATCTTCGAGCAAATTCACAATGTGTCTCACCCCGGAGCGCGAGCCTCGCTAAGGCAAGTGCGAGCTCGCTTTATTTGGCCTCGCATAAATTCCGACATAAAACTGTGGACAAAATGTTGTCCACCTTGTCAGCTCGCCAAGATCACACGACACAACGTCTCTGCTGTCTCCGCCATTCCTACTGAAGGCGGCAAGTTCGATCAATTATATGCGGATCTCGTAGGCCCGCTCCCTTACAATAAGGGTTACACCTACCTACTGACCATGATTGACCGTTACTCGAGATGGACAGAAGCTGTACCATTGGCGAACATCACCGCTGAAACCGTCGCAAATGCTATTTTGCGCAATTGGATCGTTCGCTTTGGTGTTCCAGTATCCATCAGCTCTGATAGAGGAGCCCAATTTAAGAGCAGCATAATGCAAAGCCTCATGCAGACGCTCGGATGCTTGCGGATAACTACAACTGCATACCACCCCCACAGTAACGGGTTAATTAAAAGATTTCACCGACGACTAAAGGATACCCTAAGACCTCTGCCGATCTGCACCACTGGGTTGACAAACTACCTCTGATATGACGGCCATACCTCTGATATGACGGCCATGATATGATAAACTACCTCACAGCAATTCGCTATGACGGCCAGTCCAGCATGTCAGATATTGTGTACGGCACTCATCTGCCCTTACCAATTGATCCTATCTTCAAGTACCAGCAACCCTTCCTGGATCCCTCATCCTACACAGAGCGTCTTCAAACATTCATGCAGTCAATTGGACCAATAAAAACGCGCCCACCCTCATCTGCTACTCATGTTGATCCAAATCTGTTAACCTGCGAATACGTTTTTGTGCGCAACAATGCCAGAACTGGATTAAGCCCGAATTATTCAGGACCATTTAAAATCTTAAAAAGAACTAAAAAATATTACCATGTCCAATTCCCAAACAGAACGGATACCGTGACCATTGATAGGCTCAAAGCTGCTCATTTGCAGAACGATGTTCTTTCAAATGTTCACGACTCCCCAAAACGCGTCCCGATCCCAATACCAGTCAAAAATCCTTCAAATCCGGTGCCAATAAACCGAGCAGAACCTGCGGCACCACTTCCAGCTGAGACTAGCACTGGTATACTGCAGACCCCTCGGGTTGCGCCTTGTTGTGGGATCAAGGATCGAATAAACTTGGGCAATCCAAGCTTTACTGAACAAATGCCCAGTTACCTGGAAACATAACAACTAATGTAAAATACTTATAAACGCAACACGGAACGATATAACATAACAGTAACAAGGGAAATATATAACAGTCAACAAGTAAGATTCGTAGAGGTAAGGAACGTTGCACTTACATCATAGAATAGCAGGGGTCAGGTCCATTCGTACTGGCTATTGCATAGAGACTGACATCACCTAGTCGCAGCCGGACCACATTACAACTTGCTACATGACGTCACGCACTAGTTCTTTATTACGACACGCCTACTGTTGCGTCCCGTATAAACGTATCATTTCATGATCAAACGGCCACAATCAAGTCTTCCGTTTCAGCGACCAGACGGGGAAGACAAATTCATCGCCCTGCTAGATACAATTAATCGTCTAATTTATTTATCAATTAACATTACAAATATTTCACGCCAGAATGAGCACGAATTGCCTTCTTTCTTGGCCTCTTGCTAATCTTTGCTAATTTTTGCTTTTCTCTCTAGCCTCTTCCAAAGGTGGGGAGTGATGCAGCGGACTACATAGCTACATAGATATGATATACATAGAACTAATTTTATGTATATCATATCTCGCTACATAGAGCTAATTTTAAGTTTATCACATTAATATTAATACTCTTAACATTACGTTTATCGTTTAATAATTTGCACACTACCATAAGAATAGTTCAAAGAAAGCTCAGTTCGGTTGATAGCAACATCACTTCCGCCTCGTTCCTTTCATAGTCTTGTAGCGGATCTCGCTACATAGCACTAATATTATGCATAACATATCTCTAATTTTTATGTTTCTTATACTAACATTAATATTAATACTTAGAATATACATTAAAGTCGTACATTTTAAATCATATTAAATAATTATAATATCATCACGAGAGTTTCGGAGAGAGCAGCTCCGTCGATGGCAATATTCAAGGCCCTTTTTCACTGGTTCCTTTGTAGCCTCTCAAAATGGTAACGGTCCATTTCGCCGTCAGACATAGAGCCGTCAACATCTCTCTCACGTAAGCTCCCTAACTTAGAAACTCTATTCTGCCGTAGAATAGCTCTCATTCAATGTGTTAAGTATAAGAGTAAAGTTAGTTCAGAAGTCGGAGTCATTGCAAGTTGAATAAATTAAATTAACGTATTAAATTAACGTGTTTTTCATGCCACAAATATAGCTCACGTGGCTTTAGCTCATTTGTGAAATGGTGTCGTGAAATGTGAATAGCGTATTGACAAAGGCCTTATTTCGCAGTTCCACAACATCTGTTTCCTGCAACGTATAAATTCAAGATCACGCGAAATCTCCCGCCTGACGCTACCGCTGTCAGGAACTCTGACTATCTCGGCCAGCATCCCCATTGCCGCGCCCAAAGCCAGTTTTCGCGCCAACTCGCATGCCGCCATCTTGCCGCTCCCCAAGGCGTCCGTGTCTACCGACGCTCATCAGTTAACTACCAGACTAACTTTTATTCAGTGAACCAATTCAGTGAACTACCTGATTAACTTTTATTCAGTGAACCAATTCAGTTAACTACCTGATTAACTTTACTGACCACGGTAATTAACATGACACAGGGTAAATTCGTAGGTTCTTCAACTTACGGTCTTTGAGGCTCTAGAAAGACGAACGTGGACTTCAATTCTTCAATGCTATTTCTAACGAATAGCTTTTACTACTAGCAATACCCTACGATACCTGCAAATATGGAATAAAGTATTTAGACTGGAACTATAGACCATTTAACTTCACAGCACAGCAGCTTTTCTGACAATCCCATTCATTCTCAAATCGACGATATTTCCATACAACCAAGGCACACTTGACACGCATTAGCTTAAAAAAGAAGCCAAATCAATTTGCAATGATTAAATGATCATCTGTAGCACAAGCCATTACAAAGCATTCTCCACAATATTTCTATTTTTTAGGGCAGAACAGAAACTACTAGATCTAGCTCACAATTATCGCCTTGAGATGACGCTGTATTAGTTGATTTAATAAGTTAATTCAAATCAAACACTAATGTATTGAACAAATAATTCAAATATAACGGACATTCTGTGATATGCCGCTGGCTTAGAGGCGCCCATTTTGACTAAGTGACGTACAACTTCACACAACAGCTTCAGGAATAAAAAGTAATCACTGATATTCTCACAAACAGTTTCTGCTCGTTCATAAAATCTCAATCACCCAGTAAATACACATATTTCACATATAACACATAGAAACACAGAAATAAATTTGGCACAGCTTCCCTCGTTGCTGATCCCAACTTCAACTGCGCGCGCATCGACTGCGTGGGTGCTGCCGGACTTGAATTTTCCGGAATTAGCAGACAAGTCGATAATTTGCATACTACGATACACATTTAACATTATATTTACTATACAGCTTAAAGTTACTGACAGCTGTCCCTTGGCGAATAATTCAAGTTAACTAGCTAGGCCATTCAATTTCCTGATTGGAGTTATTAACTTAATGTGGAGTGGCAAATAAAACCCCCACAGTCTCCTCTTAGTGTAGCGTCTATTTGCCCTTCTCTCATCGACCTGCCAACATCTCGCGTAAGTTCTCTAACTTAGAAACTCTGCCCTTAGAATAGCTCTTGTGTTAAGTGTTAGAGTAAAGTCACTTCAGAGACATTGCAAGCTTGTGAGTAATTAATTTCTGTCATGTCATAGGCTCACGTGACATATAGCTCACTTGTGAAATGGTGTCGTAAATAGTGTATTAACATTGCCCTATTTCGCAGTGTCCCCACATCGGCTAACATTCGGCCCCTGCAACGTGCTAATTCCCGTCTTTGACTGCATCTTCGTCTGCGTACCGACGCCATCTTCGTCTGCATACTGCATACATCTTCGTCTGCGCCATCTTCGTCTGCGTACCGACGCCATCTTCGTCTGCGCACCGACGCCATCTTCGTCTGCGTGCCGACGCATCTCCACGTGCATTCAGTGACTTTCCCCACGTGCATTTAGTGAATTTTCCCCACGTGCATTCAGTGACTTTCCCCACGTGCATTCAGTGAATTTTCCCCACGTGCATTCAGATGTCGGATGCCGACAGAGATGCCGACGAAGATGCCGAAAGAGATGCTAACGGAGATGGGAGTTTGCACGTTGCAGGGGCCTAATGTTAGCCGATGTGGGACACTGTGAAATAGGGCAATGTTAATAAACTATTTACAACACCATTTCACAAGTGACCTATATGTCACGTGAGCTTCTACGTTATAATGAAAATTTGATTACTCGAAACTTGCAATGTCTCTGACATGAATACTCTTACACTTAACACACTGAATAAGAGCTATTCTTAGGGCAGAGTTTCTAAGTTAGAGAGCTTACGCGAGATGTTGTCCGCTCGATGTCAGGAGGCAAATAGGACGCTTCAGTTTTAGGAGGCTGTGAAAGGAGCAAGGCGTGGCGGAAGTGAGATTTTGCCATCGACTGAACTGAGCTTTCTCCGAACTATTCTTATGATGATATTAAAATTATTTAATATGATAAACTTATTACGGTAAGTATTATTATTAATATGGTGAACATGAAATTAGTTCTAGGTTGCGAGATTTGATATACGTAATAATAGTTCTATGTAGCGAGATCCGCTACACCCTCACCCCCCCAAAAAAAATATATATGTAACTCAGTACTCACTGCAGTGGGTACGCAGCCGTGCACCACCAAATTTGTGCACCAATCAGACTTGAAAGAAACGCCTAGCATATTTCCGGATGACTACCAATCAACCGCGGATTAAGGGGGGTATGTAGACCCGCCCGAACTCCGAAGCGAGGGTGATCGCGGACACTGCCGTGACTACTAGTATCTTACGTCTGGCTGTGTGGTGTCAAAGGAATGTCATGCG